CTCCAACGGGAGACACCTTGCTTTAAGGTGGCTTTCAACAAGAAGCCAACGGCAAACTGGCCACATTCAGAGGGAGAAAAAATCCGCTTGTGAGGTGTTGCAGTGGGCTTGAGCTATGGTAACCTGCGCTCCTGCCCTCATGGCACGGAGTCACGGCCTCCTGCTTCACAAAGCGACTCACGCTCGGGCTTTGAAGCGGCACAAAAGGTAAACACAAAGCTATACCCTGTGACCAAAAGAAGGCCAAGTTCGCATTGGTGCTTGTGCACATGTTGGCTGAAGCAAAAGTACAGCGGCGGTTCAGCAATGACAAGCTGGCCTTCCACACATTGCGCGCAAGCCTATAGCGGCGTTTCATACAAAATTTGGCAAACTGCTGAGCCAACCTGCCCTCCCATCGTTGGGTAGATGAAGCGAATCTATTGGAATTGGGGCCTTGATGAGCAAAGCTTGCAGTATGTTGCAACCCTTGCAAATCACAGAGGCTTGCATGATGACACACAATATTTTGTACTCGGAGAAGCTGGGATCAAGTGCCCACCAACAAGATGTTGAGGGAACAAAAGGGCGACACCTTCAAGGTATGGCCATCTTCACCAGGCAAAAAGATCGTCCCCCTCGCTGATTTTGTACAAAGCCATGCTGAGAAACGTGACAATCAACGTGTGGCCCCATGTATGGCAGTCCCGGAGGTGCCCATAGACAGTTGCGATGTGTCTGAGCATTCTGAAAACTGCCAAAGAATACAAAACACAAGTGGCTAAGCACCACGGGCTGTCTCAGGCCATGGGTGAGCTGCACTCAGAGTATTACCTGCAATTGTTGGTCTGAGTCAAGATGAAGTCACTGTAAATCCGGCAAAAGGAGCAGTTGCACAGCTTCTGAGATTTAGGACAGCGAGATGTTTCTGCACCGCGCTTCTATGAATGCAACCAGATGTCCTTTGGGCATTCAGAAGGTGAAACGTGGACAACACTGCACACGTCTTGGCACAGATCCCTCCAAGCTGATGACTTGCTTTTAATTGCAAGCCCACGGCAAGCCTCAGGTCATGGCAGTATAAAGCCACCGGGTCCTGAACAATCTACGCCACCTCATTTAATGCAAACAATTATGTTGCCGTACTTATGTACCGGCTGCTTTGTTGAGACATTGCCTCGCCAGGTTTCTAATCTAAAAGAAGGAAAGAAAAAAACAGCAATCTTTCCCACACAGCAAGGTTCCTAATTACAACCTGACAGGAAAGCAGGGAAAGCAATTAAATCAAAAGTGAACCACACCCGTGCCCAACAACTTCGCACTTGACCAGATATGACCCCGACACACACACACACACACACACACACACCATGCTAATGGGAACATCATGAAGCCCCAAAAGGACCGTCAGCTACGTCTGGCATCAGAAATGGGGCTTATTCTTGTTCACCAGATCCGCCTGCAAGGGTTGAGTACTTTCTTCACGACTTCCTTGTGCTGAGACATGGCACTGACTGGTCCTATGGTCCACGAAACCAAAGGGCAATGGCCTAGCTATGACACTTCCCAGTTGTGCGTCTGTCGGCGTCTGTGCCACCCGGATCGGCTCATCTGCCGCCAAAGAGGTTCCACCTCAACTTTGGCTGTGAAAGGGCTCTTTGAAGCGGGGATCGCCTGTGCATGTTTACAACGTACATATTTGTCTACAATGTGCGATCCCTAAATGGATCTGCGAGGCTCACTCGAAATATGCGTATTGTAGATCTGCTGCACGGTTGCTGTTGAAACACGGCTAAATGAATCAAGTCTTCTGGAAGGCGAAATATTCGAGGGAACTGCCAGGAGCATTCGTTAGGGGGCTTTCTGCGCAGGCATTCGTGTGCTTCACCAACGCCATGTTTTTCTTCATGACATCCATCTGCTAGCGTAGAGTTTCAGCCAAGTGGCGGCCTCCTGGATCCCCTCTTTGCCTGGACGGCTTTCACGTCGTCGCTCGAGAACCTCAAGCGAAAGAAGCAGGGGAGTGAGGGCTGGGGGAGTGGGGGGAGTGCCACAGCCAACACGCGTGAAGGCGTGCGGAAGAGTCGCAACTGCAACGATGAATCATGCAGAATCATTTGTGCCAAAGAATTGCAATCAAATACACCATAGACTACAAATTGGGAAGCCCCTACCCTTATTGCGAATATCCCTCCCTCTTGACTGCGTCATGTTCGCATGAGACCAACATTGTTCCGAGCTGCTGGAAGAAGGTCATCAGCACGGGCACCAGCTGCTCAGACTCTGCCTCACCGGCTGAGGCAAAGGTAGAGTTGCCCAGTGGCCGATAAAAACGACACGTTTCTTTGACTGCAAAGGGACAATCATGAAGGGGGAAAAACGGGTGCCACTGGACAGCTGCGGGGGTTTGATCCCTCCTTGGCCAAGAGGGTGCTGTCGGGAGACCTGAGGGAGAAAGTCTCTCAACTGGGCATTCCAGGCACAAACAGAACATCAAGAGTGGGCGAAGACTTTGCCAATGCCCCGCGCCTAGCTTTAAAAAGGCCCCAATCAGTCGCTGGTGCCTGAGAAGGCCCGAGTTCAACAGTCCAACAGCAGCATGAAAGCGCCAAAGACACATAGAAGCGCGTTCAATTAAACTTCCTTGAGCAGGGCCGGACAAGGCTGCGAATAGGGACAAGTAAGGCTTGCCCGAAGCAACTGGCTGCTTGGCAGTTGGCAGATGTGTCAAGAATGGAACTGCTGCGAACATTAAGACCCTGCAGGTCAAGCTCACGTGTATTGGCGCTCATTTGCTTCAAAGAATTTGCTCCAAAATATTGAATCAAGGGAACGACAAGACCGATTGAAAACAAACATGGAACCTGGAGAAACCGTGGAGCGTCATTATCATAGCCTCGTCCTAACGGAACTTTTGGGTGTGTCTTACAAGAAGGGACCCCAAAATGGTGATGTTCCCTTTCGTGGCCCTTTAAACCAACCCCCTTTTGTCACAGCTTCTTGCAGCCCTGGGACATTGGAGGACGGCATCGTCTCCACAAACTTCCGGAAGACGTTGCGGATGTACCTGGCGATGCGGCATCGTGTGTCCCTCAAGACGGGGAAAACCTCTATGTGTGCGCCAGAAACCAAGGCCTACCTGAGATTCCAGCACTCAAGGCATCTGCAAAATCTCAAAGAAGGCTTCCTGTCCTAAGGTTGCAAGAAGAGATTCCTCTGAGCCAGGGGCCAAGATGAATTTCTCCTCACTACCCTTAGCAGCCAAGTCCTGGAAAACGTCAAAAGGGGAAAAGGAAAAACAACGATCCAAGTTCCAAGGCAAAAAGCGCGTTAAGGTCAAGAGACTTGAGTAGCAGAAGCAACAGGTAGCTACTGCTGTCAAATGACAAATGAATATGGAATCCACCACTTTGGAAAGGAAAAGCATGGTGTCACTGCACGCGAAACTCACACCAAACTGAAACACTTCACAGACACTTAGCGCTAGTGACTGAATGGCTTGCAGCAAGGAAGGGAATGCGAGCAAGAAAGTTTAAAGCTATGTAAGCTGCAGCCGCAAGCTATGAGGATGACAAACACCAGCTCTAGCTCCAAACCATGCCTGGCTGGCCAAAGTGTTCAGCTGATTCTGAGTGGGGAACAAGCAACAACTTGGTATTTTTGCTTGTTTTGGCATCATGCTCGCCAAATATTCACTACCAAGCGCCAGCAGGAAAGTCATCTTCTGGGGCACTCCATCTGCTGGTGCTGGCCGATGTTTTGCTGAAGCCTGGCCAAACCATCAGGTGAAGCGCGAGCCATCGCGCTCTTAGATTGGCTCGCGTCAAAACCTTTGGACCACTTCCAAATGGCTGTTTTTTTGTCGCTTTTTCTCAGGTGCTCACAACGATCCAAAAGACACAAGAAGGGCCCTACTTTTGACACATTTCAAATGTGGTACCTCTGTTGCGGTGAAGGTTGACTGAGGCCTGTGCCACATGAAGCGTGTCCCTTGAGGTTAGCAGTGGGCAGCCCATTCATTTTTAGCTGACATGAGCACCTGCCTGACAATCGCATGTGGCCATTCAATCATGGGGCTCCGGGCAAGACGTTTCAAGTTGCCAGCATGTTAGGTGCACCGAGCATATGCCTTTGACCCAGCCGACTTGGGCAGGTGAGCAAACAAGTTCTCATGCCGGCGCGCGCTTGTGCTGCTCCACAATCTCTTGTAGCTCGCGCTTGCCGAGCTCGCCTGGGGCGTGGGCCCTTGGGGCCTTGGGGCCTTGGGGCCTTGGGGCCTTGGGGCCTTGGGGCCTATACGGAAACAACACATCTGTGGCAAGATGGCAGACCCCGGGCCTGAAACCAGGACACTGGAGGCCAGACAAGGGGAAGGATACAAGATGATACAAGTATCCAGCCCAACACCACGAGAAACAACCGATTGTGAATAGCTCCGGAACACCTCCTAGTGACATCAGCCTCTCGACAGCACATTGAAGGCGAACTTGAGGAGATAGCAGCGGGAAGGATGATAGGACCAAGCTACCAAAAGGTCGACGAGGGAAAAGGGCATCCATTCCCAGGCTCAAAGCTGCACGTACGGGCTGATAGCCCTTGGACTGATGCGTCACGCGTCTGATCAAAGCAAATAGAGTCGGGGAACCACAAACCAAGAGGACCAACTACACACAAATGGCCCTGTCATGACGCATGGGCTGGGTCAGTTCTTTGGGGCCAGCGCAAATTCTCGAGGCCCTTCCAAGTTGTCGAACGGCGACGCTCCACCAGCTGCAATGCGTATCTCTCACTGCTCAATCTTGCGCTGCGCTGTCCGCCACAAAAATCCTCTCGGGGAAACTGCATCCTGCAGAAACGACTCAAGTGCAGAAAATTGAGGCATCACAGCCACATCACAGGAGAAGGCATGTTGACTAACTAAGCCACGGAGGCACCGCTTCTCGCACTCCAGCGTGCATACTTGAGAAAGCGGCAGGCGGCTGTGCGCCAGCAAAGTGGAATGCGTGGGAACGGGTATATTTGCTGCACCACACAGGCCCACCCGCAGCCGGATGCTGGGGATGTTTGGGATGCTGGGGATGTTGAGGGCGCTTCTTTGACCCTTGTCCAAGTGCCAATGCCCCGCTGAACCAAAAAGTGCCCATGACCACGCTGAGCAGGTGGCACAAAGCAGTGAGCTTTACAGTATATAGGGTTCAAACATTCAGCTCACCAGATCCGCCCATCCCACAACTGTCCACTACTCCAACTCTCCCCCCCACTCCAGAAAGTCTGCTCGACCTGAGGGCACGGCTTTCTTTAAGGGCAGTAGCATGTCTCCCTTGCTCCTGGTGTTTTGACGCATGCGAGCGCACATGGCAATCACCTGAAAAAAGAGATGGGGAAATCGTCAATATGTGTTTGGCTCCAAAAGGCAGCATGCTGCCATCTCACTTGGCTTACGGTCATCCTTCATCATTGACATGTCACTATTTACTTCTGTCAGGGAAACTAAAATGCCTTGATTTCCAAACAAGCGTCTTCTGATTTATTTGGTTTACTCAAAACCGTACATAGCATTGGACTGGTGCACGTGCGGCAACTAGTGACCAGACAAATCCATTCGGATTTTCTGGTGGCAGTCTCCTCCCAGATCTGGAAGGTGTTGATACGGATTCGGGCAAGTTCCTGCAAAGTTCATAGGTGTTAATCCATATTTGCCTCAAACAGCATTGGGACAATCACATTCCCCTTCAACTGCATTCCCACATTCCACTAAGATTCACTCGGAAGAAGCGGCATGCAATGAATTTTGCGCCCGACAACTGGATCTGGTGCAACCAAGAGATTCGTTTGCTGCGCGGCAGCATCTGGCCACAAATTCACACGGCTCGCGATGGATGCACTGACTCCCCGGCCAAACATAGTGCTGGGCCAATGCGAATCGCCTCTGGCCAAATACAAATACGGCTGTGTCAAAGACGAACTTTGCAATCCTGTTCTTGCAGTCGAAACAAAAGTGGGACCTAGCCACCAACCCCAAAACCCAAAACGTCAAGCTGATCCCTCGATTCCTAATTCTCCGGCTCCTCCTGGAGGCGTGCCTCCAGCTGCCGAACCTAACAACTGGAAGTTCCACATGCGAAAAGGGAAAGGGCAAAATGAGTGAAATGGACGGGTGCTTCGTGGTGGTTCAGCAACTATCTTGGGTCTTGGTGCAAGGTATCGTTTGCGTCCAGCAAGCATGCCCTTGCCCGACAAATCACGCAAGGTGGTTCTTGCCACGCGGTTTTGTTGTGTGAGGGGAAGCTGTGCACGTTGAAAGCGGTCCCTCAATCGCAGGAACCTGCAAGAAGACAAGGGCTTTTCTGAATCGGCCTAGGCATGCAGGTGTTGCCTCTCTAGAGCATGTTGCTAACGACATTCTGGAACGGCTGACTAGAATCAAGTTGTGGTAGGACAATGTCAAAGTCCAGCACTAATACCAGTTGTTCTTGCCCTGGGAAAAAGTGATGGTCCAAATTGAATTATTTGCATGGAAACAACAGGAGGGCGCCGTCAGCAGCTGGCTCAGCGTGGGGACTTTCACACTCAGCTAAAGTCGCATACAGCCATACAAAATCAGGACCAGCGCAAGACCAGCACCGTGGCCAACAGTCTGGCATAATGTGGCGAAACCTTCGACTGCTGTCTTCAGCTTGAGCCATACATACACAAATGCTGCAGTATCCTCACTGCGCCGTCCCCCCGACAAAGCCCCGCTCGCGCCCAAGCACACGTGCCTGGGAGCGGAGGCTCACCAAGTCTTGCCAGGCCACTGAAGCATGCAGCGAGTAGGCCTGGCAACATTCGCAGTCCTTGTCTGAGGATGCGGCTTTGTGGCTATTCCGAGCTTATGTTGCTGGTTCTGGTCGCTCTGGTTCAATTCTACGTGTTCTGATCATGCCAATCATGGCTGCGTTGCTTCTCCGACAATACAGGTTACGTCTGCGCTCATTGTGGGCATGTGATAGCTGGTGTGGCTGAGGGACGTTGTTTGTGTCAAGCGAGCCAAGCTGAGCATCGCAGCACAAAGAGGTAATTCTGCCGATGACCTTCACGCTCTCTGAAGAGAAGGCTGGGCACACATCTGGATACAAGCAGATGTGGTTGCGTTTGACGAAAGCTACGCCAATCAAGTGTCATGACATGGCCACAAAACGTTGGGCAACCATATGAGCGCCGCAGCAGGACGTGTGAGGCAGATTTCACACACCAGGGGGCAAGGCCGACTGAAGCGGCAACGTGCCCCCTCGTCTCCTCTCTATCAGCACGGGGACTGTCATGGAGCCAACGCTTTTCAATTGTGATCCCATGACAGTTACCGAATCTCCCTTCCGTAGATAAAATACATCTTGCTGGCAAGCATTCCGCCCAACACCTTCAGGCTGAGAGCGCCTACTTGTCAGACATACATTCATCCATAGATACAACAAATACATAATGTGTTTCATGCATTTGATGTACATACAGACAGGCAGGCAAGCACGCAGCTAGGCAGAGAGGCAGAGAGGCAGGCAGGCAGGCAGGCAGGCAGGCAGGCAGGCAGGCAGGCAGGCAGGCAGGCAGGCAGGCAGGCAGGCAGGCAGGCAGGCAGGCAGGCAGGCAGGCAGGCAGGCAGGCAGGCAGGCAGGCAGGCAGGCAGGCAGGCAGGCAGGCAGGCAGGCAGGCAGGCAGGCAGGCAGGCAGGCAGGCAGGCAGGGGCAGGCAGGCAGGCAGGCAGGCAGGCAGGCAGGTCGGCAGGCAGGCAGGCAGGCAGGCAGGCGGGCAGGCAGGCAGGCAGGCAGGCAGGCAAGCAGGCAAGCAAGCAAGCAAGCAAGCAAGCGAACAACGCACGCCAAACCTGTTCAAGCAACACAAAAATCACAAAACCAAACCAAATGCGGCAAAACAACTGGGCAAATGGTACTACCACTTGCAATGTTGAAGAAGTATGGCCGGTTCACAAGCGCAAACAACACGGGAGTAAATGGTGGACTCATAAAACACAAAGAAATATCCACCTGATAATTGAATAGAAATAAAGCTTCATAACGAAACAATTCAAGACGGAGTTCTATCTCAAGCCACAGCTTCAATAGGGTGTCCTTTCCAAACAGGGCTTTAGTTCAAGCAACTAGATGTTAAATGAAATTTAATGAAGCGAGGAAGTCTTGGTGTTTCTTCTACTTGGCCTGCCCTCAAAAAGAGTGCAAAGCTATGGAAATCCAAGGGAAATGCACTTTCAGTTCCGTTTATTTAAGATTTCTCAAACATACAATTGGCTTATGTCCTTATCTATTGTTAAAGTATATCTAACTGCAAGTTGGATTCTGATCAAGTCGTGCTTGGAAAGAAGCTCCCCATGTTAATCAAAAAAATACTAGTTTCCATTCAAGTCGAAGTTACACTACAATTCTATTGGACTGGAGTTTCTTGTCAGGTTCTGATTCAAAATAGGAATTCTAAGTGAATCTCAGTAAGAAGTTTCTCTTCGTGGGTGAGAAAAAGGCAAACAGAAACCTCGAGAAAAACCAAAAGCAAACCCTACGCATTCATGTTGGCTGAGATACGGTCTGAAATGTTGTTTTGTTTGGTCGTTTGGTTTTTCGGACGTGGTTCTTTCTGGAAAAGCCAAATTCAAGAAATGTATGTATCCATGTTGGCTGAGTTTGGGTCTAACGCTTTTTTGGGGGCTTTCTCGAGTTGTTCGCTTTTGCTTGGTAAAAACACCAAACAAACAAACAAAAGCTAGAAACCAACAAATCCCAATGCACAAAAATACACCCCCATGAGAGGCCCTCTGAAAGAACATGCGGCCTCCAACTGGTGCTGCGAGCCAAATCACAGCCATGGCCTGTGGAGGTAGTAGGCTGTCGCTGCTCTCGTGGCGCACAGGAGCCTCGGGTGCCTTAGGAAGGGCCATCGCAACTCAGCGGCGTGTGGCCGAGACGAGACGCGGGTGGAAACTCCCCCAATCTCAGCCCTGCACCTCGAAAGTCTTTGCTTCCGGCTCGGGCGATGCTTCGAAGGCCTCCTGGGAGAGGAACTGCGCGTGGTTGTGGGCGTTTTGCGCCAACAAAACGCCGAGTTGTGGAATGATCATACGATGGGCCATAAGCAAGTCATAAGGAATCAATGTGACTGGGAAGCAGGCTCTCTGGCGGTCCCAGTTTCGCAAGGTGTGAGGGCGGGTGTCTCAAAGCGGGGACCTATGTTGGGTTTTGCTTGGGCAAGAAGCCATCAAATCGAACCCTTGGTGCCACGAGAAAAAAAAAAAAGGAAATATGCCCACGTTTGCCCCGGTCGATCTCAAAAGAAACACGCAGCATAGTTTTATCCATTGGGTGGTGGGTGGATACTTGGCGAGCCTCATGGAAGCCCCTGTGCAATCTCTGCCCCTTTCTTCAAAACGAACCCGCTCAAAGATGAAGGTTGGGTACCGCCTCTGTGTATTGGACAAGAACTTCGGCTTGGCAGAGCAGCTGCCCGTTCATTCGAGTGGAAATTGAGAAACACCCTCTTGACTTTCCAAGCGAGAAACCATCTTGCACCACACATTTTGAATTTGTCCGATGCTCTGCCTGACCCACTATGCACATCCATGTACATCAAGCAACGTACCAGGCAGCTGAAAGACAAGTAAGGTCCATATTGGCCTCAAGCTCCCAAACCACTCACAGCTGAATGTGATGATACAAAGAATGGAGATTCATCCTCATTGTGTTCCCCGTGAAAAGCGGCAAGGTGATTGAAACACCACCGCATCGGGGGAAATTGCCCTGGGAGCCTGAAGAGGCACTTTGAAATCCCTCGGTACGCAGATCGCTTCTCAATAGTTGGCTCCCTCCCCAACCCTTGCTATGTACAACACACTCTCACTCAAGACAGAATACTAAGATCAACCATGTCCGCCTGAATCTGTGCAGGAGTTGCCTATCCAACTGAACCCATTGCCTGGCACACTTGGTGCATGATAGGCAAAAAGTATGAAACCTACCCTTCACAAAGCCAAACAATCAAAAAGCGCCTGGCCGACCCCTCCTCAGTCTGCGCCGCAGAGTCTGTCTTTGGGGCCGTCGGCCTGGCGCGGCCTTTGGTGGCGTTTGTGGCCTTGTGTAACTTTACCCCGCAACCTCTTGAAAGGGCCTGAGGCCCCGAAATCAAGGAATGGACGCCTCGGAGCCATGACGTCACAAGATTGCAACTTGATTTGCGCAGCTGCACGATTGGGCGGCTTCATGTGACACAGAAGCATACCATGGCATAAAGCCGAATAATGGCTGCTTGACTCGCCATGGTAATCCACGTGTTGGCAGTGGAGCTGCTAGGCAGCTCACTGTTGCGGTGCCATTGCTTGCGGATTGCTGCAATGCGGGGAGATCAGCAACTCAGTGCTGGTGATCCAGACATGTTCCTTGCTAGGTGAACGGCTTAAGCAATTGTTTGGGACATGCTTCAAGGCGTCAAGCCATTGCCGACTGTAAATGTGCCGGAGAGGGTTCCAGTTGGGGCAATTTCTCAGAAAGGGAGGATTGCCTGGCACATGAAAGTGCAAAAAGAAAAGCACGTGTTGTTGTTCTGTCTTGGCAGCAAAACACAAATTGTGGCTTCTGTATATACATACATGCATGTGTACATATTATTTATATTTGTTTTAAGTGTTTCTGTATATACGTGTACAACCATATCTTGACATCCTGCCAATTTAAGGGAGAGTTTTCACTCAGTGGCCTTGGATTGGCAGGATCTCGAAGTCATGAAGTTAGAAGCGAGGTCATGTCGTTCTTAGCACGCAATCCAGTTCTGGTGCCGCAATCGCAACACATAATCCAAATCATCCTTGAAACATAAAACAAAGGACTCACATCAACTATACACAACATAAGTATTGTTTTTGGTGGTACCCTTTTTGGGGTGGTTTTAAAGGGAAACCAAAAGGACAACCTAGTTGATTTCCACGTGGCCTTCATTTATCTCCCAGCTCCCAGAAACAAACATGGAACCTGAAAAGCACCGCTGGGAAATCTGCCCGGGGACACAACAGGTTCCATGCTTGTTTTTGGGAGTGTACATCCCTTGCAGGTTCATCCCTTGGGATAGCTTCAAGAAGTGAAGCTCACTCGGGCACTCCACAAGGCTCTGGGCCAGGGCCTTGCATACTTGTTGGTTTTAGCTTGGCCGCTGGCTGCCTGCGGTCTGGACCACAAGGCTCGCTTGCGTCCGTCCCCCTTTCCCAGAAAGCAAACTGCTCCGTGAAACACGCGAGGGTGGGAGGTTCTCCGGCACAAAGTCAGCTGCCCGTTTTCCGCTCAAGAATTGTCCCCAGACCACCTACAAACGTTCCCTCAGATATATAGAGAGAAAGATGCAGATTCATGTTCCTGAAATTAAGCGTCCTTAGGAAAGGAACCGTGATCAGAAGGTTGCTCTTTCTACTCCAGGCGAGGTAGCTACGCTTTGTGCAAATCTCTCATTCCACCTCGGCAAAACATGGCTTAATCTGAAATATCCCACTAAACTGTGCGCTTGATTGAAATCCGCCCCTGACACCCGCTGAGCTTCCTTATTTGGGGAAGACCTTCAATCAGAACTTTGAAGGTGCCTTTGCGTGTGGTTAAAAGTTAACACGGGAGGTCAAAGGCAGGCGCGCCCTGCGCAGCGGTCAGTTCGTTGCCTTTTACACGTCAATCATTTGGAAAGGTTCAGGCTCCAACGGCCAACTTCAATGGTGTATGTCTACCAAATAATTTAAGCGTGGCAAGCGGACCTAGGTGCAGTTCAGGAAGGCCAAAGTGCAAAGCCGCAGGATACTGAAATACGTGACCGTTGCAGAGCAACAGCGCCTTGTCAAAACTGACCTCCCAATAGCCCAATAATATACAGGTTCCTGGATTCCAAGCATTGTACATGCCGGCTGTGCGTTGCAACAGCCTCTGCCTTGGACTCAGCAGCCTCGCGGGAAGTGAATGCGGATGAATGCGAACCATGTGCATGCTGATCTTCTAGGCTGCTTGCACCAAGGTCAGATCCGTTTGTGGCTCCAGAGATCCCAATCAGTTCCAAGGGTCTTTCATCAAACCTTCCATGCAGGGGGCGTACGTCATGTGAGCATCGTTCTGTGCGAAAGAGCTGCTGAATGAGCACGAGGCTCATCTTCTGCTGGTGTTGCATCACGTGTGATTGCCATCCTGAAGTGGCAGAACTTCCTGAAGCATTTGTTTGCCAACTGTGACAATGCCTCAACACTCGACCAGCACATCTAGCTTCTGCTTGTGAGTGATCCGTTGGCTCATGTTGGGGATGTATATTACCTCGCAAATCAAGCGCAACAACATTTGCCGCGGGAAGGATGGTCGTGGTTGTGTGTGTCCGTGAGCTAACTGCAGAAATGCAAATAAATGTGCAAATTTTTGTGTGTGTGTGTGTGGGGGTGATTTGGCTTGCGTATGCGTCTGCCTGCAGGTGTTTGCTTGCACCTCCAGTCTCTGGTGGCTACATACATTAACCTGCTGAGAACTTTCATGGCTGTTTATCAAAGTAGTGAAGTGCGCTTGTGTTGATGTATCATTGATGTATCAAGCAGGGTTGCTCGTCCCTTTCCCCATACACTACATGAGCATTTGTGTGGGTCTTTTGCAATTGGCGCAAAACACATAGATGCACCACCGGCTACCCTCAACATACTCTCAAAGTCCATGTCAACAACATCAGCAGTCCCTTGAACCAACTCACAAGATTGATGCCGACTTAGTGCACCTTCCCCACCCAATCTGGACTCAGGCTGCCCCGCTGCACGGCTGTCGAGCAGCGCCCGAAGCGTTTCCACCTCCTCATCGTGTGCCTGGACAAAAAAGCACTTGGGATCCCCCGCAAGCTAAGCACATGTGCGCGGAGGTTTGGGGGGCATGTGAAAGGTGTGGAAGGCGTCGAAGGAGCGGAAGGTGCCGAAGGTTTGGGAGATGGGGAAATGGTGCGGAAGGCGCAAAAAACGTTGGAAGGTGTGGCAGGATGCAAGGGAGCTGTTGGGTTGTGGTGGGGTGTTCTTGCTTGCGCTGGTGCGTCCTTTTTGTTGCTGATAGCTTGGTTTGCCTCCGGGCACTGAAAGTTGACCGGACTGCCGCTCCAGGGGGCTGATTTGTTGAGTCTCTGGCCCAGCACAACATGAGGAAGGGGAATGGGCCCGACGTCTTGACGACGTTCCACTAAACGTAGTCTTCGGGGAGCCAGTGTCGCCAAACAGGGGTCCCAGGCTCGAATCCCCCTGCCGGCTCTTTCTCCTTTTGCCGAAAATCTGGAAAAACTCTGTGTTTTTGGACGTCCTCTTTGCGAAAACGCAGGAGAAACCGTGTTGTTTGCGTGAAATGCTGGGGAGCACAGGGGAAATGCAAGGAAGTTCAAGGAAATGAGGGGAGGAAATAGGAAGTCGACATGACAGGAAAGCAACGGGAAACCAAAGGGAAACAAAGGGGAACTGAAAGGGACATGAAAGGGACAGAAATGAAAACAAGGGGAGTGCAGGGGGAATGAAAGGGAAACAAAGGACAAGGCAACCAATCGGCACGACGGGAGATGTAGGGAACTGACTCGCAACGAAAGAACGGGACATGCATGGCAAATGAAGCGGACATACCGAGAAAATGACAGTGACATGAAGGGGGAGTTGAAAGGAATGGAAGGGACATGACCAGGACATCATGGGAAACGTGAAAAGGACATGAAGGGGAAATCAAGGGGAAAGCCAGTAGTGAGATGACAGTTCAGGGTCATGAAGGGGCAGTGCCCGGACATCGAGGCAACTCAGGGGGGACGTGACGCTGCAATGCAGAGAGAGAGAGAGACAGGGAGAGAGCGGGAGAGAGAGAGAGAGAGAGGGAGGGAGAGAGAGAGAGAGACAAAAAGAGACAGAGACAGAGAGCGAGAAAGAAAGAGAGCGAGAGAGAGATAGAGACAGAGCCAGAGTCAGAGAAAGAGACAGAGAAAGAGACAGAGAAAGAGACAGACAAAGAGAGAGAGAGAGAGAGAGAGAGAGAGAGAGACGCAGAGAGAGAGAGAGAGACTAGGTCCTCCAGCAGAGAGGTTAGAATAAGGGTGCCCTTTTTCTGTAGAGGGGCGTGGACAGGAAGGAGACAGGGAGACAGAAAGAGACAGAGACACAGAGAGAGAGAGAGAGAGAGATGGAGAGAGACAGAGACAGGGAGATTGAGGAGAGAGAGGCTTGGGGGGATGGGGAGGATGGGGAGCAGAGGGAGGGAGAGAGGACGACAGAACACGCAGGGGAGACAAGGGAGAGAGGAAGAAGGAGAAGAGGGAGAGGACAATGTCGGCGGACTGAGCCGGAGGCTCTAAAGTCTTGCAGCAATATGTGCTTGAGTGATGCATGGAAGGCCATCAAACATCGTATCCTAACGGAGCTATTCAGCGCCACCTTCTGCGAGTTCTTGGAGCCAATTCCAAGACAACTCGGCCCGAGCGCTCTCCCGTCCTCCTTTTGCGTTCTGCGCAGATCCAGCTCCTGGGATTCTGGGATCAAGCGCCCCGAGCAACAAAAAAAACACTGGTTTTAAGCTGGACAGGGGCACTGGCGATGGCCAAGGATATACAGCAGAAAGCCAAACAGCCGAGGGCGATTTGATTTGCTTGCTGAGTCATATCCCGCATGCTCGTGGACGGTTAGCTCTGCGAAAAACATCATCATTCAACAGTTGATGCTTACGTGTGAGTAGAGGTCAAAACATGAAAATATGAGGTCGCACTGCGGAGCACTACGCGTCTTAACCTTATAGATTGTAACACGTGCTTCCTCCCCCGAGATGTTGCTACCTGGTCGCAGACCATACGTGGGATGCAAAGCCATAGGACGAAACGCGCACGCACACACGCGCACCCACACACCGCCCCTCAGCACTCCTGGCGGTAGGAGCGCTCGCGCTCCCGCCAGCCCCGCTCCAGCTCGTCCATGCGCGCCTCGAAGGAAGCCCGGGAGGACCTGGGCCGAGACACCGGGAAACTTTAGCCGCTGGTGATACTGGCGGTGACAACAAGGCACAGCAATTTTGTGACCTGTAGATTTGTTTCCAACGAGTCCATGATCTTAGCACAAGGGCCAAAAACGGACGCTGAGTTGGTATTGGAAGCAATCTGGAGGCACTGCTACATGCTGGACCTACCTCTAAGGGCAACTTGCCATTCGCCCTAGCTAACCCTTCTTCCTGCTATTTTGCATCCAGGTTCATGGTGGTCAATCGACGACTCGGCTTTTGCGTGGAGCACGGTCGTCCGCATGGAGCACTGTCGTATGCATGGAGCACGGTCGAATGCGTGGGGCTTGTCGTGTGCGTGAACAGTCGTGCGCGTGGAGCGCGGGGCGTTGTATGTGCGGAGCACAGTCGTACGTGCGATGACCCATGCGATGGCCCAGTCAGAAAAACATGACAAGAGCAAAAGCCGAGCGCCAGCAAAGAAATCAAGGGAGATGCCACCGTGCTGAGATGTCCAAGGTATTAAGAACGGTGAAACACGTGGTATGCGAATGTTTTTTGGAGATTGGAGAACTTGCCATCGGGGGATCCAGAAGCAGCGAGCAATGTCACATACATAGATATACATATATATATATATATAGGCAAGCAACGAAATATATATATATATACATATACATATATATATATATATCAAGCATGTCAACCGCTGTCGTTGAAACAGCTCCCCCCGGGTGACCATGATACTAAAAGTGCGTTGAATGCTGCCGAAGACTGGCAATACCTCTTCTGGGAACACCAGCTTGGGGTGTACAATGCCCAAAAAGGGCCCTACTGTGGATGGACAAAATCCTGCACCAGTTGATAAGTGGTTTATCCCAATATTTTTGTAGGGCTTCATCCATCCTAGTTGGTGCAGGATTTCGTGCACCAGGACCCCGGCTCCAGCTCGGCCTCGCAGCGCTCCTCGGCTTCCCGTGCCTGGCAGACTCGGTGACTTGGTTCGCTCGCAGTCGGTGGGGTTCCCCCTTTCTTAAACCGCCTCCACTGAAATATGGCCTAGGCTGGTAGCAAAACAAAAAAAAACCATCCATCACTCGGCCTCGGCCCGATACTTGTTTGCGCTTCCCTTCAGATACTTGCCAATCCAAAACCTGCGCTGTACTTCGGTTGTCCAAGCCATCGGCATAGCATCAAAGCCACGCCTTGCGGTCCATGGCGCGCTCCACCTCCGCACGCCGCGCCTCTGCCTCCAAGCGACAGTCCCATGCGAGGCCGTGTCAGGAATGGAGACAAACAAAGAATCGCGTGAGTCCGGATGGAATGGCCGGAACCCGCTAGATGCAGAACTACCATTATCGAAGCGCCATACCTCAGTTCTCGGTATGCGGAAGGGCAACAAAGCACGCATGCACGCACACCAGTCCCGTTGGAAAGCACCAGCGCTCTGGTCCGATACCATCACACCCTATGCCAAGAAAGTCGACCCCAGAGGAAAATGCATTATTTACGAAGTGTGTTCAGGTCTAAGACTGTATGCTGCTATCCAAATTCTGCAACTGTCCAGAAGTGCAGAGCTCCAGCCAGCATTTGCTTGCTTGAAGAAAGTACTAAAGGTTATGTGGCTGGTGTCTAGTTGGTTCATGGCGGGCTTCTAGGCTCACATTGGATGTGGCATAGCACGGGATTTGATGAGGAATTCTAGCTCACATTGCATGCCAGGCTCAGGCTTGGACTTCCCATTCCAGCACGGAGCAAAGCATTTATCCAGCCATGTAGACAGATTTCCTGAATGAAGCCTGCTCCCAAGACCGCCGCGTGTTGCAATTGGAGAAGCTAGGAGGGCAACATGTTTTGGAGTGGCACTCATCGGCAAGAAATCTGTCTCTGCTCAGCCCCAAGCATGAGCCATGACATGAACATGAAGAAGCTGGTCAAACGAGTATGCGCATGAACGCCCATGTTGAACAAAATCCATGATGCCGGTATGTTGTTGCTTGATGACATGTTCTAGCTTGCTTAGCTTGTATCCGCAGGGTAGAGGGTCTTTTCGAGCATAGTGTTAGTCTTGTTACCTTTGGGACTGATGTTCTGTTTTCTTTGTCAGAGGTGGTTCGACACGATAAGTCTTGTTTTTCACTAGCGCATCAAGGGGACTCCTAGATCTGTGCAGGAGAGGCACGCAAACATAGCTGTGTGAACCGGGACTGCGTGAGATATTCGCAAATGCCTCTTTTTTGGTCTCGAGATAAACCACGTGACCTGAGCATCCCAAACCAGGGACGTAAGCGCTTGAAATCGAAGGCCTGGAGGTTCGACTCTTTGAGCCACTCTGACTGAACGGACCGTGTCATCCCATGGGCTCCCATGATCCATTTCTCTGGTCTTGCCCACAGCTGACCCCATTTTGGATGGTTGAAAGGAAGCCAAAAGGGCACCCGCCACCTTCAGTGCTCCCCTTTTTTTTGCAAATCGTGTGATTATGACTTCTCTGTATAACACATAACATGTGTATATATATACATATATATATATATACATATATATATATATGTGTACATGTGTGTATATATATATAATATAGATACATGCGTGGTTTGCAAAGAATGAAGTTGGGCCATGTCTAGCTCACACCCCGCTATGTTGCGGTTTCCAGGATGTTCCGGGCCCTCCCCAGCGCGGAGCTCGGAGCGCCGACGGTTTTCCCACGTCCCCCTCCGGGCCGCCTCGCGCCTCCCGCACCTGCCGCCTTAGCTCTCGCTGCTCCTCCGCATGCCGTGCCTAACGCGGTCGAGTCCAACGAGTCACTGGTGGAAAGTTGTGGGACGAGCTCAAGGTCTCCGCATTTGGGGACAGAACACAACACAGTTCGCACCCTGTCGGGACTGGTTGGGGGGTCAGTCTTTCATCGTGGCAATTCTGCCTCTAAGCTGACTGAGTTGATGAAGATTTGAGGCCCACCACCCAACATGCGCAGGAAAACAAATGCGCTCCCTCGGTCGAGCGCCTGTCGAAATACTAGTTACTAGGTGTTTCTAGTGCTCAGTGCGGTGCCCTTCTGTTGGGTTGGTTGAAGGCTGGCTGCATCACACCGCGCAAGTTGGGACACTGGAAGTAGTGTGGCACTGAGGCTGAGACAGCAAGAATCGGAACTGACAGTGCAAACCCTTTGCAGCATGGGCATGAAGCCAGTGCGAACTTCAAACCTAGTCCTGGCCTTTGTGTCAACCAAGCAACAAACCGCGGCAAGGCCCGGCCTTCTCCGCCTGGGAGCGCTGCAGCTCCAGTGCCATGGCCTGGCCGACTGGCGCACCGCTCCGATGCCGCCACAGGACTTCCTTCCCTTCAGGTTAAAATCAGACGGCTTCAGGGTACGAAGACGGTCCAAAAATCGCCAAACGGTCTCCTGGCATGTGATAGTTCTCCAGCAAGACTTTGGAAGCCGATGCGAAGTTGCAAGGCCGACGCCTGCGACCGACTCCGCAAACCAAACGTCGGACCGTCGGAGCGTCGGAGCGTCGGACGCCTGCAGCTGTTCGCCCAGCTGCTCCGCTTGCCGCTCCTTGGACCTCGCGGCTTCGGGGCACCTACCTGGAACCTGGGACCCGAGACCCAGGGGAGCGCCCGGGAGAAAGCGGAGATCCCAGGTCTGCGTGCCATGCGCTTCTCCAGACGTCAATTCTAGGTTGCGTGGACATCGAGTGGAATAGCACTTCAGCAGCCAAAGCAACAAGTCCAGGCTTTAGCAATGCCCTTGTTACCTTGCTCCGACTGCCAAGACGCCACGTGAGTTTTTGTTTACTTCCTGGGCCGCCGTGCGTGAGCTCCTCCCGGCTGGAAGCGCTGCTTTGCAGCGCCGCGTTGGCCTACGATTCGACGATGCCGGGAGGCCATGATTGGATCAAAAGCAGACACGGACATGTGGCAAGGGATGCCCACAAACAGAATTATTTAACAAAGGAAACGAGAAGCACTGGTCATCAACGATGGCAACAAGAGAACGCTTTGTAGCTGCCAGTAGCCGCAACTTGTCCACGCCTTTTGTGATAGAAACCAATCCCTGCAAAATGGACAGTAAGACTTGTGTCTGTGGTTGTGTTAGGTCGTGTTCGTGTGTTTTGTGCCTTGTTCTTCGCGTGTAGCTATGTTTGTGTCTTGTGTCTGCGGCTGTGCCTGTCTGTGCCTGTGTCTCGCGTGGGTTCATGCATGTGTCAGTCTCTCTCTCTCTCTCTCCCCATCTCTCTCTCTCTCTCTCTCTCTCTCTCTCTCTCCATCTCTCTCTCTCTCTCGCTCTATCCCTCTCTCTCTCTCTCCTCTCAACTCTCACGCTCGCTCACGCACTCACTCACTCACTCACTCACTCACTCACTCACTCACTCACTCACTCACTCACTCACTCACTCCTCTCCTCCCTCCCTCCTCTCCTCCCTCCCTCCCTCCCTCCCTCCCTCCCTCCTCTCCCTCCCTCCCTCTATGTGCTCTGTCTGCGCTCATGATCGTGTTTACACATCAATGCCTGGAGCGCGCCAAAGACTACAGCATGCTCAAATCCTGACTATCCCTCTTTGCCTCGTCAAGAAAGTTGTACTGGATATCAAAAGAAACATTGCTGTATGTCACGGATTGGCAGATGAAAAAGAAGATGGGATCGGGAATGGGATTCTGCGGAAAGAAGTAGGTTGGGAGTGAAGGGCCATCCCATGTCAGGTTTGCAGCACGTGCTTCACACCTCTCACCGTTCAAGGGCTGCAATTGCGGCCTTCCGAGAAGTCACCTCCGGTAATCCGACTCCCTCACCTCGCCTTCTCCTTGTAGGCGTCGAACTCCTCCTGCAGCTCCTCCGACTTCTTCTTGAAGCGCTGCACTTGCGCCCGCAGGGCGGAGACCTGGCCCAACCCCGACTCAGCCCAAGCTTCGAGGGTAACGAAGCCATGAGAGCCAAGCCTCACTGCACCTGAACTGAGCCGCTGTTGAATGTGAGTGCAACTAGACCCTGAATGACAAGCGACTCCTTGCATGAGATACTGGTCGTGGGGCATGTGCGTGTTGCATGTATGTCTCTTGACTTTAGCAGTACAAATCTGATTTCAAAAGTTTGGCCCGCGCAATTCTGTACCAGCAGCTTCCCCAACGAACTGGCGCACAACGACCCACAGACCACATGACCACGGTAGTGCTGGTGTTCCCAGCCTGTGTCCCCCATGGACATGGACATGGGAATGTCGGGGAGCAATTTGGTAAGCAACATACCCCTTTTGACGATTGCTCATAACATGGGACTAATGTATCAATCTGCCTCACCCACATGCCAAGTTCTAGCGTCACGCCCAGTTTCTCTGAGCAGATCCGTGAGTCTCAGGAGCCCTCGTCATGCCGGCAGCACAGGGCCTTCATGACATTCATATTTCAATTGGGATTGCACCAACTTGCCACCAACTCACCCAAGGGGCGGAGAAGCTGAGGCAGGGAACCAAAACACCGCCCGGGCGCCGACCAGGGCCAACAGCGTCTTAAAAGCCTCACCTCGCCCTTCCATCGCCGCTGCAATGGCACGGGCCGCTCGGCCACGTCCAGCAAGGACAGCGGCCACCACCGTGCCCTAACCGATCGCCCATCGGTCGCTCGTCTGATTGGGGCCTTCTGCGAGACACATCATGAAACACCCATGCTTGAAAATGAAGAATCCAATTTCCAAGCCAGGCTATGATTCAGCCAAATATGATCTGCTGCTCTCCTCTAATTGGCAATCCCCGGAGAACGGGGCATACCTGTTTGCGCCGGGTCGACCATATATGTACAATGCATCGTATTTGCATGTTGCCCTTGTCGCAGGGTGTAGGCAGGTTCCAGCAGCACGGAACATAGGCGTTGTCACTGGCATGTGCTCCGATGAACTTCGAGAACAAGCAACACAAGCTGGCAGTTTCTCGGGGCATCAGGTGTGGGCGGTTTCAAACACATGTTTAAGCCACAATTAAACAACCTGCGTGGTCTGGTCGTTTGAACCATGTCAATCGACATTGTGCTCTGCCCCCACCTCTTGGAGGCGTCTGGCACTTCCGAAGCCGACGTGCCTGGCTCAGGCTTAAGTCAAGTCTTGTCGCTGCGCGGATCGTTGAAGTGGCGCCCTTTCCCACCGTTGGCGTTTTGCTCTTTGCGCGCAAGGCGCAAGTGGCCCCCACTGGTTGACCTGACAACACTTGGATTCGTTCTGCTTGCACATGTCCAAGGGTAGTTAGAGGTAAGGTGAAAGGCAGCAACAAGCAGGTGAAAACTGTTGTCAAGGTGCCCGAACTCATTCATTGGACACAGTCGCGGTGCTTGAGCTTCATGGGTCCAGCGCTGGACCAAAGCGAGTCTTGCAAACTATTGAAAAGCTCTCCGAAACGATTTACTCATGATGCCCTAACAAAGACACCGTGTCCGCTGGATTTGGCACCAGCAACACCTAACTGAGACTTCCCAATCCAAACTGGCTCCCTCAATCTTGCCCATGCGCTCTTGTTGAACCTTCAGAAACCTCATTTTTCTCAAATGGATCCTGTGAATATACCATCTAGATGGTGGAACCGACAAATCAAGACGTAAAATGTGGAGTTAGGTCTTCTTGGCGTCTTGGCTTCACAACATGCGTTGTTTGTACTTGGGTCATCAAACAATCCAAAATGAGTGGAACATACTGATTGTATACGAGTGCGCGGCGCAGTCCTAGTACGTAAACCAGATGTCCCATGATTTCTTGGCCCTCCCAATGGTTGCAATCAGTGGCTCTTCTCGTGTGCACCCTATCAAACGCTCATTGTTGTTTATGGCGTAAGGGATCCACAAGCCCGGAGTCGTGGATTCGCGCACCATCAGCGCTCACGCCAGTGCTGATGAGGCACCACACCTGGGCATCTGCATGAGCTGAGGCGATGCTCATTCCATTGCAGACCTTCTCCTCTCGCACAGGTTAAAGGCAAATCCCATGCAGGCAATGTTGGCCCCAACGTGTGGCTGTCAACCTCTTGATTGGATTGCCCGAACTTGGAAGAAGCCATTGATAGGTTCATGCTCCATGCCATCAACAGTCGCCCTGATGAGAAACTCCCAAACATGTGATGGCTCATAAACAGGTCCTTCAAATAAGGGTCAAGAGGTGTCTTTCAGGAACCTTGATCGACTCAAGGTTGCTTTCGCTGGGTTTGACATATTCCAACCCCAAGGGCCGGGCATCATCGTCGCTCTCCACAGCTAGGATGATACCTCCACATGAAATTGCAGGCAGCTGGAATCCAAGCTGGCAGAGGACAGAATTCCGCTCACACCAAAGTTTTGGACCAAAGATGCTGAGCGCTGATGAATGGAAAGGCAAAGAGGGATACGGGTATGCCTTGCACTTCAGCAGGACCTTGTGATCTTTCCGATTATTGAAACGCCCTGGCTGCACGACAAGGGAAAATCAAACGCAAAAGAACAGCTTCGGTCGATGGCATCGATTTTTGTCTGCACGGTTTTTGCACGGGACGCGGGACCAACTTGCAACAAAGGCGAGTGGGAGCCCAGAGCAACGAGTGTCCCGCCGGCCCCATCCTTATCCCTCTCTGCACGTCAGGTATCAGTGATCCACTGCTTGCCACATATCCCCCTTCATTCAATGGTATTCCGTGGCTTTGGTTCACCCAGTCCGTCCGTCACTCTCCAAGGCCAGAAATCCGAGCGACGCAACATCTTCCACCTTCTTGCAGGGGATAAGCATGGAAACTCTCTACGCACGGCGTGGGTGTCGCAAAAGGAAGGGTCAAGATGGTCCGGGCAGGAGGCGCGATGCAAGCTCCACACGTGCGCATCACAGCCTGCATAACGGCCTGCTTGCTAAAAGTGCAGCAACTACTGGATGCCAAATTGTTTGCATCTCTGGCATGTTTTGATGCGAAGCCCACGGGATGCAAGCTTCATCAAATTCTCAGATCTTCGGTTCTTCCAAAAGGAGTCGATGATCATCCTAAAGGCCTGATCGGAAGACCCCTCAACGAAAAACGCTTGGGTTAGCTAGGTTTGACACGTCCTCACTTTGGAACATATCTCCTCCCGGCTGCCCAGAACCCGCCTCCCCGCTGCTGGATCTCCTCCCTTGATGGGGCTACACCTAAGAGATGAGAAATGCACGCCGAAGGGAAGTTCTGCGGTGCGTTTCAGAACGGCATTGAGCACATGTTGTTCACATCCTGAACAACATGCTAAGCTAGGCAGCAGCATGCTGGAAACCAATCCAGGTATCGAGCCTGTACTTTCATGCTCTTCTTGTCAGGTTCCGACTCGCAGATTTGGGAGATCGTACCCTTGCCCTTCCTGCGGACTTGAGTTTGAGCACTGTAGGAGGGGTAAGTCGCGAGCTACAGTCACACGCCTAAAGAGCTGTATGTCATGTCGTGTAACATCCAGCATTGGTTTCATCACGTCTGTATGTGTGAGGTTCCAACGCGCAATGATCATCGCACTCCAGACGAGAAACCGTGAGAGGCCTCAACATAGTCAGGATCGCGTCGAAACTACCGGGCCCCTCCAAGTAACGCTGAGTGGTTTGAGCATACCAGCAGATATCTGGCTGCATGAGCGACCCCCAGTCCCCCCCTCCACACCCAATTGTCTGAAAGCTTCAGCGAAGTTTCACAACCTGCAGCTGAACTCCGGCCGCAAACCAGTGTCCAGTTCTCCTCTGCATGGGCTTATCACGTTGGTAACCGCCAACATCATCTCAGTCATGTGTTCCACATGGTCCTGCTTGTTTTTAGGACTCTGCTCATGGTCGAGAAGCTCCCAGGTGCCACCCGCATGGCCATAGCCCTGGGCATGCGGCTGAGGTTCTTCTCCATCGAGCCCATTTGCTCCTGGCAGAGTGGGTCATACGGAGAGGTGGAGTGCAAGGACACAACCCCCAAAGCACAAACTTCTCCCTCAACAGCAGCTCGCAGGGCTGACCCAGACAAGGCGCGGCCCTTGTGTGCCCTTGTTTCCTTCGTGCCCCTGTATGTCCTTCTGTGACTTGTGTGCGTGTGGGCGTGCACAAAAAATATTGCGTGCGCTATGTGTTCCAACTCTTGTCAGAGAAAAAAAGTTTGACAAGACTCACTCACCAAGTGCCTCGCCGCATGTCGAATTCAGAAAAGCTGCACTGTGCGAGCCAGGTGAGCTCACCCAGCCACTTGGGCTCATCTATATCTTATCTATATCTTCCCAAGAACACCATGAGCAGGGAATCAATTCATCGTACCTGATATTGCCTGATACCATGCACATGCTGCCGGCGACATCACATGCGATTGAGATCATGCAACGCTTGGACTTTGAGGAAGCTCTCCCTGGTTGCTTTGATGTTGCTGCGTGTGACCTGCAGATGGGAACACGGGGCTGCACCCCCATTCCCTCGCAGACCAACAGGAGACTACCAACAATTCTGTCAGTTGCTCAAAAATATTCAAAGCTCCCAACCCATTGCGAAAGAGCACCAGTCCGGCTATGCAGTCATGTCTGTGCATGCCCCAGCAAGTGGCTTCCCCGTCGCCAACTGTTGGACTGAAGTGAAAATTGAGATTGGTCTGATCAAACTAAAGACTCGCAAGTCTGTTCTTCAGGTGCGCATTGAGTTCGGTTTGGCAAGCTTCAACCAAAGATGACTTCGGGTAGCAAGTTTCGTTTCGGAACAAGGGGTGTGGTTCAAAGCCATCGGAAGCAACTGTTGAACTCCGCTGATGCACTCCAAATGAATGAGCCCGATTCAGGCTTGATGACATCGTGTCTGTCAGTTCTCGCTTTGCTGCCTATGATGATTTGTATCAGTTGGCTTCATTAGGCCCTTGAGTTGGCTAGGCATTCTTTCATTTTGGCTCCCGCCTGCTTCTCGCGTCGCTCAAGCCGATGAGTCTTTTCTGAAAAAAGGTGGCATATTCTGGGTGACCCAGCTCTCTCTCTCTCTCTCTCTCACATACAAAGTCAGGCTTTGCCCAAAGCGCATAGCTTCAGCCCCATTGACCCTACTGACTCCCAACCTGCGCGTGCCCACGGACTCTCCTGGAGCAGCAGCCGTTGGGACTGAGACTTGCTCAGGGACTCGCTGAGGGCCTTCTCCTCGGGCGTCTATGGGACTGAAAGGAACCCGAAGAAATTTCGCCTTTCGATTTTTTTTTTAAAACAACTCTCAATCCGCACTGGGCTCACACGCGGCCCAGCAACTTGTGCGGATGCCCAAGCATGAAGCAGGGTAGCCAGCCATGCTAAGTGGTCAATGGATTGACCAACCAAAAATTGGTGGCCGAGAATACGCAACGGTGCTCAAACACCTGTAGTCCCAGAAAGGCGGAACAGTGTGGAAACAAACAGTGCTTCCGATCGTACTTGCCGGCAAATTGACCTCCTGACAGGCAGGACCCGCCTTACCATTCATCTTGGTGGTCAAGACAGACAGCTTGTCCCTGTCAATCAAGGTCATAAATCAAGGGCTGCACACCAATTTGCGGATCACTTTGTCTGGCTGAAATTGCGGGAACTGATGGGTCGCCCCTGCGAACATCAGTCGCCGCTTCGGCCTCAAACATTAACACCATGATCCTTTCCATCCAAGCTTGCCCAGAAACATGGGGCCAGGTCTGAAGTCCCTTAAAGGAAGCCAAGGAAAAAAGGGAAGAGCCGCGCAAAGACCGGGAGAGGTGACCCCCACAAAGAGGCCGGTGACTCGCTGTGAGGCGACCTGAGGCCCCCTGCCCGGCACTCCGATTCCGCCAGGGCCTCGTTGGCCTTTGTAACCAGCTGCCGCATCCTCAAAGCAGCGGGGCGCGAGCACAACGCTGTCGTGCAGAGTTCCCCGGGCTGAATGTCATTCAGAGCGAACAAGGCAACCTTGTGTCCCAACACGCTTGAGGGGAAGGCCTGTGGTTCGATGCATGGAACCTTGACTCATGCAGAAAAAGTCAGGACAAAATTGAGAACGAACAAGCACCGCAAGTAATGCTTGGCGCCAACACGTACACACACACACACACACACACACACACACGCACGCACGCACGCACGCACGCACGCACGCACGCACGCACGCACGCACGCACGCACGCACGCACGCACGCACGCACGCACGCACGCACGCACGCACGCACGCACGCACGCACGCACGCACGCACGCACGCACGCACGCACGCACGCACGCACGCACGCACGCACGCACGCACGCACGCACGCACGCACGCACGCACGCACGCACGCACGCACGCACACACACACACACACACACACACACACACTCACGCACACACAAGCGGGTGCATGCTGTTTCTTCTTGTCCATCAGCCAAGTGTCTTCTGCACTTTCTCCTGCTGCTGCTGGTAGGCCTCATCCAGCTCCCTGTTCCTGTGGGCGGTTTGAACATCCGTGTGTGTGTGTGTGCACACACACACGTGGAATGTCAAAATCAGGACCCCGTAGCCCTCTCAAATGAACCCAAAAAGGGATCTGTGGTTTGACATGCTGCCATGTGTGAATGTTTACAGGCATACATATGTATAGTACATATATATATGTATATACATATATACATATATATATATATATATATGTACATACATGTATACGGCTTCACATCTTCGCGCCTGTATATGCACACTGAATTTGTATGTGCAGCACTTCTGGCATGGGCTTCGAAGTTTCAACCTCGCGCATTGAATCGTTCCAGCCGGAGGAATTGGATGCTTCGCCTTTTCCTCCATCTTGGCGCCAATTGGGCAGCTCGTCCACTACTGTTTTGCAACAAGAGCAAAAGGTTCACACACTCTGCCCGTTCGGCCCTTGGTGGGCATGAACAGCCTTCTATGTAGCCGGTGTTTCAGGTATGCATTTTGCCTCTCGTGCACACCAAGTGTTTTGCATGTGAGAAAAGTATTCATGCTTTTTCAGATCACAACATTTCAGGAGCTCATCTGAAAGTTGAGTGGCGCGCTGGGGGGGGGGGTCGGTTCATGAAACGCCAGAAAGCACATCGTGCGGGAAGAAGGTGCACACAACGAAGCTATCTTAGGGACGCATGAGTGTGCAAAGAGAAAAGCTACAAGACCAGCATCACAACAAGCCATGGATTCGACCCATTCCCCGGCCTCTCGCTCAGCTGGGCATTCTCCGCCGTTGCAGCTTCCAGGCCTCAGAAATTCTCCGCCCTGCATCCAATGGATGTTTCCTTAAACCTGGCTGGACAACGCGGCTGGACACCCCTGTTGGCTGATTGCTGAATGGAATGCAATGGTTGTTCAAGTTGACTGAAACTATCAGGGCCAGCAACACTGCGTAGCTCTTTGCGCAATCTTTGGTCCAGAAGTGAGGGAGGGAGGAAAGTGGGAGAGTGATGTTTAAAGTCCAAAGAGGGAACGTTGTCGGACATCTGAAAGACCCACAAGAGAGGTTGGTGATGTTGGACTTCAATTCCTCTTAGTACGCCTGCTCCACAAAAAAGATTGGTTTCGTTTCCGCACAGCCAAATTGTGAAAGAAAGAAGGGGCTCTACAGGAAAAAACACCCATATGGTATGGGCCTGGTGGCAGTCCCATTCAGAAGGCGCTGTTCCATGCTTGGATGCAGGTGCTTGGTCCTGGGTTTCTGTCTATGGAGTCTATTGTCTGTTTAGAGTGTGGTGGTGCACCCTGAGATCAGGGAAGCTTCAATGAATCTTAGAAAGGAAGCTTCATCACTGTGAGAAGTCCGTAGACTTGCATCCTGCTGTTCGGTTGGAAGCTGAAGCAGCAATCCTTGATACGGGATGACCATACGCATGCGGAAACGAAGGATTCGAGACCAGCAATGGATTCCTTCACGGGTTCTTCATATGTTACAGCGTCTTTACTTGCAGTGCTTGACAACGAACAATGTAATAATGTGTGTAACAGACAAAACATCCACGATGGATCTGCGGCTGGGCCACAATCAACACCTTCGCTGCAAAAAAAAGGCGCCCTTCCACCTGGCGATTGGTCTCCGGCCTCCTGCTCATTAATAACCAAATGGGGCCCGCAATCCTTCGGTCAAATCGTACTCAGGGCTTTGGCACCACAGGTAAGACCCAACTTGCCAAGGATCTGCAGGCACACCATGTTGGACATGCATTTACAGCGCTCGGAAGTCTGACTCCCATGTCTTCCGAATTGCACGTTGCAAATGTGGCGCGCCTGAGCTGTTCCTGTGCTCTGGGCTGCTGTGGTGTGCTCAATCCGTCTCTAGCTTCTCATCCCGACTATGCTTCCAGGCACGAAAAAGCCGTCAGCAAGCAAGCACTGGCTGCGATTGCTTGCCAAAAGCCAAACGCGCCATTTCTTTGGCCCTTCTCTTTGCGCTGTGGCGTGTCCTTCTTGTTCTGTGTGTTCTTCGCGACTAGAAGGAAGCTTGCAAATTATCATGCTGTGTCTGCTTTCCAATGTTCATTCTGACCCAGTGACAAATGTTATCTGTCTGTTCCTGATTCGTACCAGGTCCAGACACCGCTACAACACTCTAAGCAACGGCGCCTGAACCGGCCAAGGACTATCCGTTCTCTTGGTTCTTCTTGTTTCTTCTGTTTTGTGTTGTGGTTTCTTCTTCTTCTTCTTCTTCTTCTTCTTCTTCTTCTTCTTCTTCTTCTTTTCCTTCTGCCTCTGCTTCTGCTACTGCCAACCTTCCAGCCACTCAAAGCACAGCTCCCACAGGTCTGTGAAGGGGGGTGTCAGTCAAGGATACCAGCTCTCTGGGGTTCCTGCGGCCCTGCAACGCCAGAAGATGCTCCTGGAGCCAATCAGTTGGCAGAACTTCAAGGTGCGGGATTCAAGAGTTCAAGTCTTCCAGAGCTGACCCATAGCAAGTCCACATGTTGGTGCGAACAGCTTCATTTAGCACCGCGGCGGATTTCTCGTCATCTTTCTCCCGGCAGGAACGCCCCCTTTGCGGTGAGGTTCTCATGCTGTGGCATTGTCCCTGCAATCGGTCGCGGTGGTTGGTTTATTGATGTTAGTTCCCGCGACTTCCCATCGGACTCCGCCAGTCCTTGGACCTCCGCACCACTTCCCCAAGCTTCGCTTCCGACTCCGCTCGCGCCTGAACCGAGCGGGGCAAAGCCTTTAGGTCCACAACCCACAGCCCCGTCGCATTGTGCACTTGCAAGAGACACATGCGCCCACACACACATATACTTGAGAGAGGCAGAGGCAGAGGAACTCCTAAAGGCCATCTTTCAGAGCCACTCGAATGCCAGTTCGTCCAAGCTTGCCTCTTGCAACTCCTTCTTGATGGCCTCGGCATCTCCCTGGCATGTCAAGAAGGGTGAAGTATGGCCAAACACGTGTCTAAGTTGGATAAACATGCTTGGCTATGTTTCGCTTTAACAAATTAAGGTTGAGGTGCGCAGCTTCGGACCTCTGAAGCCAACGCTGGCAATCCCCCCCGGAATCGGGAAGTTGACAACAGGAAGCTCTTGTGGCCCGGGGTGTCACAGTGCAACTCTGTGCCCGGGAGCCCTAAATAGGGTCGCAAGATTCTCAAGCTCCAAACGGTGCTCTCCAAAAGACTGGCCAATGTAAGACTCTGTCTGAAATCTGCAGGTGGTAAGGTACCCCGAATCCCGCCGTAGAAAGGAACGGGCCAGCTGGCCTCCGTGGCAGCAGCCTGCAAGCCTCGAAGCTTGTCGCACTCCTCAAGCGATCCAACAGACGCGGTGTTTGCGGATGTTAAGTTGTCCTTTACACATTTGCGCCTTGGTGTCAGGGGCAAGTGATGTCTTGCTGGGACATGGGAAGACAGGTGTGCTCACCTGTTCCCACACACTGCCCTCGCCTCACTGCAACGGAGAAACAGCAAGGGCCCTGTGTGCAGCCATCATCCCCCTGCCAAAGAACACAGGCTGTTTCAACCCTTTGACCCCTGAGCCGCTGCATGGAAATCAACATGCCAGCAGAACTGGCGAAATTGCGAGCACTTTTTGGCAATTGGGGGGTTTTAACTTGGCCTCATATATGTTGCACACCGCTAGTCTGCCCGCAGGTTCGAGTCGACGAAACCACTTGCAGCATCCGACAATCATGGGAAGCCGTTCTCAGGAACATCTTTCCACATTGCTCTTTACGGAGACGCCATCCGATTTTGCCAGGCCGGCCCCGATCTCTTTTTGGCATAGCATCGTGGAGCTATTTGTCTCGCCAACTCTGGGTCAAGCCCATGGTTCCTTCACAACTTCGACTGCAGGTTCCCAGTCCTATTTGCCTACTGGGGAGAAGTGTGGTGAGTGCCGAAAGGCACCTCGCCACTGGGTGGGGATTGAAAAGGGGGACCAATATGAACCTGTCTCAACGGCTTGCGGGAGGTTCCACTCGCACCCCACCCGCAGATCATTGGTTTCAGCTGCGGTGCCAAACTCAATGCCGTAAGGCTATGTGATTCGAGCCACCACACCAAAGGGTGCTCTCAACTCGACAGGAACCATAAGATTGGCCAATGTAAAACTCTGTCTGGAATATGCAGGTGGCAACGTACCGCTGAAGACAGGAATGGTCCGGCCCGTCCTCCGTGGCAGCAGCCTGCATGCCTCGAAGCTTGTCGCACTCCTGAAACAATCCAGCTTGAAAACAGACGCAGTGTTTGCGGATGTTGAGTTGTCCTTTACACACTTGCGCCTTGGTGTCAGGGGCAAGTGATGTCTTGCTGGGACCACATGGGAAAACAGGTGTGCTCACCTGTTCCCACACACTGCCCTCGCATCCAAACGAAGAGCACAATTCAGAAACTGAAACTGAGAAACAGCAAGAGCCCCGTGTGCAGTCATCATCCCCCTGCCAAAGAACACAGATTGTTTCAACTCTTTTAACCTGAGCCGCTGCATGGAAATCAACATGCCAGCAGGAATGGCGAAATTGCGCTCACTTGTTGGCCATCGGGGGTTTTAACTTGGCCTCTTGCATGTTGCGTGCCGCTATTCTGCCTGCTGTTTGGAGCAGACAAAGCCGCTTACAGCATCCGACAATCATGAGAAGCCGTTCTCAGGAACATCTTTCCTCATTGTTTTATCAGCGTAGAGCTGTTTGTCTCGCCAACTCTGCGTCACGCCCATGGTTCCTTCACAACTTCGACTGCAGGTTCCCAGTCCTATTTGCCTACTGGGGAGAAGTGTGGTGAATGCCGAAAGGCACCTTGCCACTGGGTGGGGATTGAAAAGGGGGACCAATATTGAACCTGTCTCAACGGCTTGCGGGAGGTTCCACTCGCACCCCACCCGCAGATCATTGTTTTCAGCTGCGGTGCCAAACTCAATGCCGTAAGGCTATGTGATTCGAGCCACCACACCAAAGGGTGCTCTCAACTCGACAGGAACCGTAAGATTGGCCAATGTAAAACTCTGTCTGGAATATGCAGGTGGCAAGGTACCGCTGAAGACAGGAATCGTCCTCCGTGGCAGCAGCCTGCATGCCTCGAAGCTTGTCGCACTCCTGAAACAATCCAGCTCGAACACACACGCGGTGTTAACTTGTCCTTTACACACTTGCGCCTTGGTGTCAGGGCAAGTGATGTCTTGCTGGGACCACATGGGAAAACAGGTGTGCTCACCTGTTCCCACCCGTGTGCAGTCATCATCCCCCTGCCAAAGAACACAGATTGTTTCAACTCTTTTACCCTGAGCCGCTGCATGGAAATCAACATGCCAGCAGGAATGGCGAAATTGCGGCGAAATTGCGCTCTGTCTTTGGCTCTTGGGGAAGTCTCGGTGCTTAGCAGCTCAATGTGCTAGATAGCTAGGGGTTTGCTCGGGTTTCAACTTGGCCTCATATATGTTGCACACCGCCATTCTGCCCGCAGGCTCGAGTCGACAAAACCACTTAAAAGCATCTGACAATCATGGGAAGCTGTTCTCAGGAACATCTTTTCTCATTGCTTCGACGGGGACGCAGTAACGACTGTAACTTTGACTGCGGGATCCCAATCCTATTTGCCTAATGGGGAGAAGGGTGGCGAATGACGAATGGCAGCTCGCCACGGGTGTTGTATCCTTTTGGGCATGGCTTGAAAAGCAGAAACTATTTGAGCCTGCACGGTGGTTGAAAGTACTGTCACACCCGGTGTGCGGCGCGCCTGCTCAAGCTCGTCGATCCTCTGCAGGTGCTCGGCATCTCGCTTCTCCAGCTCTTCCAGCCGAGCAGTCACGGAGGGTCCCTCAGTCAGAAATCCCTTCATGGTGGGTCTGGGTTGAAGTTGCCATTGTTGTTGGACTGGTCTCAAGTGCCTTGGGTTGGGAATGGGTGGGTTTGTGGTGGGTTTAAGCATGTCGCCTTTCCCACGCAGTTTGCTTGGTCCTAGTTGGCAACTCTTGACTCCTTTTCCATCCTATTCTCCTCGCCTCAGCGTCACGGCTCAGGCATGCCCCAACCGGAGAAGAGTGGTGAATGCCGAAAAGCACCTCGCCACTGGGTGGGGTTTGAAAAGGGGGACCAATATGAACCTTCTCAACGGCTTGCCGGAGCTTTCACTCACAGCCCCACCCGCAGATCATTGTTTTCAGCTGCGGTGCCAAACTCAATGCCGTAAGGCTATGTGATTCGAGCCACCACACCAAAGGGTGCTCTCAACTCGACAGGAACCGTAAGATTGGCCAATGTAAAACTCTGTCTGGAATATGCAGGTGGCAAGGTACCGCTGAAGACAATAATGGTCCGGCCCGTCCTCCGTGGCAGCAGCCTGCATGCCTCGAAGCTTGTCGCACTCCTGAAACAATCCAGCTTGAAAACAGACGCAGTGTTTGCGGATGTTGAGTTGTCCTTTACACACTTGCGCCTTGGTGTCAGGGGCAAGTGATGTCTTGCTGGGACATGGGAAAACAGGTGTGCTCACCTGTTCCCACACTCTGCCCTCGCATCTTGCCTTGCAAAGTGAAACAAACGAAGAGCATAGAAACTGAAACGGAGCTAGATAGCTAGGGCTTTGCTCGGGTTTCAACTTGGCCTCATATATGTTGCACACCGCCATTCTGCCCGCAGGTTCGAGTCGACAAAACCACTTAAAAGCATCTGACAATCATGGGAAGCTGTTCTCAGGAACATCTTTTCTCATTGCTTCGACGGGGACGCAGTAACGACTGTAACTTTGACTGCGGGATCCCAATCCTATTTGCCTAATGGGGAGAAGGGTGGCGAATGACGAATGGCAGCTCGCCACGGGTGTTGTATCCTTTTGGGCATGGCTTGAAAAGCAGAAACTATTTGAGCCTGCACGGTGGTTGAAAGTACTGTCACACCCGGTGTGCGGCGCGCCTGCTCAAGCTCGTCGATCCTCTGCAGGTGCTCGGCATCTCGCTTCTCCAGCTCTTCCAGCCGAGCAGTCACGGAGGGTCCCTCAGTCAGAAATCCCTTCATGGTGGGTCTGGGTTGAAGTTGCCATTGTTGTTAGACTGGTCTCAAGTGCCTTGGGTTGGGAATGGGTGGGTTTGTGGTGGGTTTAAGCATGTCGCCTTTCCCACGCAGTTTGCTTGGTCCTAGTTGGCAACTCTTGACTCCTTTTCCATCCTATTCTCCTTACGGTTGGGCGGGGATGGTGGAAGCTGATGCCTGGAAGCAACGCGGTGCCGGGCTCGGCTGACGCGAGCCAAGCTGCTCTCGCGCAGTCCAGTTCACCACTTTCCCATTCCCAGCACCACGCCCCTCGCGAGTTGCCTTTCAGCTTATTTGCAGAACACTCCCGGTAGATTGAGGTAAGTGTACAGTTCTGCTTGCAGTTGATCTTGGGTTGGCACGGCCTGATTCAGAGTAGGATGGACCAACTGACTGACCGAGCACCGCATGGGACCCTGCCACAACCTGGTCCGCAAAACCTAGAAAAGACTCGGGGCCGTTCGCCTCATGGCGGACACAATATTGCTACCTTTATTTGGTGCTAGATTTTCCTGCAATCAACTCTTTTCCCTTGGCTTTTAGAAAGGGCTCTGTCAAAAGGACACGTCGGAACAGTTGGTTTCTTGGGCTTGTCCATCTTTCCTTTTGGCCTCCTAAGACAGTCCTGAGAGTCTCTGGTGACAAAGTCCATAGGACACAGGAACAGGCAAAGTCGGGTGATCCCATGGACGCTTTGAGACGTTGAGCTGTAGACTCCTATGACGGTGAGTCATGACATTCATGGTCATAGTTCCCATCCCTACAAATGTAGTGCAAGCTTCTCTTGAAGAGACCCGAGGCACGGCGCTGCGCGAGGACTTCTCGCCGCTCTCCGGCTCCAGCTCCGAGATGCGCGCCGCAGGGTCCTGGCAGACGGGACATCTTTCCAAACACAAGCGGCTGCAAACCCGGGGGAAAGCAGAGCCTTTGGCCCCTCGAGCATTCCCTACCCGCCCTGGACGCACAGAATCTGCCCAGATGCCAGGTAGATACAATTGGTCTCCGGCATGGCGCAGGACAGATCACCAAAAGGGAGTCAAGGAGCGACGCACGATGCTTCTTCCAAAGAAGCTCGGACCTGAAGACACGCTATCTCGAGTGCAACCATGGTTTCTCCTGTCTCCTGCAGTCCCGAGGTTCCGACATAATAGTATTGAGTCTCGGGCCGCTTCCATGTGGTGATATTACGTCCATCGTTAGCCCATTTGGGTTGCTGTGTTCGGCCCTTGGGTCTCGCTTGCTTTGCCTTTCGAGTGATTTCAGTGAAATCAGAGGTGGAGAATGGGTGGCATGCCATGTCCTGTGCTTGTTGTGTGGGGCGTCGGAGCGCCCTGAACTGCTTCCATGGCACCAGGACTAGATTGGAAGGAGGATGGCTGGTGCTTTGACACAAGATAGGCATTCCAGTCAAAATCATAGAGAAGTGTCCACAGCCACACCCAAACGCACACTGAATACAAACAGCCGGCTTGGAAGCTTCTGGCTTCCCAGGAAGTCCGCCAGAAGTCTCCCGGGAAGCCCAGCTTTCGGCAAGCGCTTTGGCTTACACGCCATGCTTGACAGGCCTCGCGTTTTCGAGTTACATGCGTTCAACAATGGCTACTGGTACTGACAGTGGCTACTGGTACTGACAGAAGCCCAGCCCAGGAAGCTAGCACACAGACTGTAAGAGACTGGTTCAATGCTGGAGCACCAGAAACTTTGGCTGGGCGGTAGAGACCATGCCGCTTTGATTATATGCTCTGAATGATTTGCAGACCGTTGACACCGTGTCAACTCCGAGTGCAGCATGCAAATACCCTGTCCCTACTTGCAACCAAAATTTCAACCCACTACCAAGCAACTGCCTCCATCCCACCACTGGACCCTCCAAAGCATCCCGTCCTGTCTCTCAGACCGCATGCCTTCCTCCTCTTCATCCACGGAGGAGGGGGCTCTCGTGGCCTGCAGATTTGCAAGTTGCTCATCCTTGGAGGTCAAGGTGTCCTGCATCTCCTGCCAACAGCACAAAAACAAACAAATAAGCAAATCCTTCCAGAAGTGCGGACACCTGGCTCCCTAGTCAAAAATAGAGTGCCCAAGGAATGCCAAAATATGTGCAGCAGGAATACAATTCATTGTGATTCATATGGTGCAGATGTATGATCAATGATGCGTCAGGTCATTCACGGGCGATGACGTTCCATCCAATATCAGTAAAGCCGCAAAAGTGCCATTCTAGGATTCTGCTTCAGTCACGCCGACCGTATCCATACCATGCGGCCAAGCCCCAGCGTGCGGACTTCGGTCCTGCATGCGCCCTTGCATTTGCAGAAGTCGATCCTTGGCCTTTTGCATCACCTAGCAGATTGGGAAGAGAGCCCGCGCAGCCACATCAACAGTCTCACAAACGGCGCCATGTGAGATGACGAGCTGCTCGCTTGAGGGGGTTACTGCTATCTATGACTGTGAACGCAAAACGTTCCCCCACTTCTCGCCACTTACACATCAAATCTCTCATCAAGAGGTTGAGGGTAGTTTTGTGCTTCAATCTGGATGGGCCTGGGGTTTGGCGTATGACTTATGTCAGAAGAGAGCCGAGCCGATTTCGAGCTGTTGACGTCATCCTCCCCGGCCCCCCTTTTGAAGCAGTTTCCGCACCTCCTGCAGCCGCACCTCCAAAGCCTCCCTCTCACTGCGCCGCGCGCTCTCCGCCTCCTGGACGGGGCGGCGGGGTATGGGGCCTGTGCTTTCCGAAGGGCAACTCCCAAAGGTAGCAACAAGGAGCCGTTCTCGACTCGTTCCGGTCAAACAAGTGAGGAACGGAACATAGATGGTGCTATTGGGCAGAATCTCCCAGGATTCAGTCAGAGAGTCACTAGGGCATTTTTTGCTGTCCTACTAAGGAAACCTCCTTGCACGCATGGTCCCACACCTCGGTAAGAACAAAGGATCCATCCTCTGAGCAGGGCTACTGGCAACGACCCAGTCGAGAAGCCGGTGAACCTGGGGCACGACGACACTTCGATCAGGTGGCTACAGCCTGGAAAGGAGATCTCCAGCCCCTCTTAGCCCTGAGACCCACAAAGGGTGAGCTGAGGACAGGCTGATCATCTTTTGCACAGCATCGCCTCAAACAGCAGTGACCTCATGATCATTTGCTACTCTCCGCTGTTACTGGGGCCTTCTCCCAAAACTATGCTGTATTTGTGAGTAGACTAAAACGCAATCGAACAATAGTGCTTTCTGTGTACCCCAAATGTGGGGCAAGGTGAATGCAAACGGGTCTACGTGTAAGGTTTTGGCCGAAGGAATTTCGTTTTGGCTTTTAACCCCTTCCAAATTACCGCAGGATGCATCATACAACAGTTCACAGGGCCCCCGATACTTCTTCGCTAGTTTCCTCCACTTAAAACCTAAGCAAACCCTCGAAAGTCCTCGATCTCATCAGCCCGAATGTCATGCACAAACATAGACCCAGGAACCCACCACACCTCTGTTGCCATGTCCATTGTTCTTGCTGAATCAAACTCCTCTTGGGCAATTCTGCATGGTAACGGAACCACTCCCATTCCGGTCTTGCCAGTTTGCACTTGCTAGATTTCCTCCCCCTCGCCAAATTGTCAACCTTCCCGCTAAGATGACTGCCCAGAGATGTGGCCTTCACTTTTGTGCGTTGTATGCTAAGGCTCAACAACGAGATAAACTCGGCATTGCCATCGGGATTCCCAGCTTTGACATCCAGCCAACTCGACCTCGGTGCCCCTGCGCTCTCAGGCTCCTCCAGCCGCTGCTGCAGCTCGGCCACCGACACCTCTCCTCCCTTCGCCTTGGGCTGAGTTGACCAGACGAGTTGAGACGCTAGGGGGCGCGAGGTGACGCGAGACCGTTGAGCTTTCCATGGCAGTTGGGTCCCTGCCAAGAATTGCCAAAGCTTGCATTGAACGGCGCTTTGTGGCAAGATTGTCTTCCAGGAGAACAGCACAGACTGTGTTGTGTGCTGGCAAGCACTTCCGTACGCCCTCAATCTTAAACGTCCAAGTCAGGATCGCACCGCAATGCCCGATGGATTTGGGTGCGGTGCTCTCTTTTCTTGAGAAGGTCAAGTGCAAACAAGAAATGTGTTTGAAGGCTGCTGGCATCCTTGGGGGAGAAAGTACTGCAGCTGCTCCTTCGTTTGGGCGCCGGTTGCCTCAGCGATGTTGGCTGCCCGTCTTGTTGAAAAGATCACATCCACCACACAGCCTCACGCTAGAGGCTGACCTCTGGCGTGCGTTCCTAATATTTGGGCAACCGGTGTGCTCTTGAATGCGCTGACCGCTGGCGTGTGTGCTTGACATTTCGGGTGTGCTGGTGTGTGCTTAACATTTGGATTCATCCTCTGAGCAGGGCTACTGGCAAAGAGACCTGGATCGAACTCGACCAGAGTCGAGAAGCCAGTGAATCTCAGGCACGCCGCCATTTCGGTAACATGCGAGTCGCAGGGAAAGGAAACATTATCAGAACCCTGTGGCCCGTGGATCGCCCCGATGTCACGGGGAAGAAACAACTGGCACCCACCACACCTCTGTTGCCATGTCCATTGTTCTTGCTGAATCAAACTCCTCTTGGGCAATTCTGCATGGTAACGGAAGCACACCCAATCCAGTCTTGCCAGTTTGCACTTGCTAGATTTCCTCCCCCTCGCCAAATTGTCAACCTTCCCGCTAAGACGACTGCCCAGAGATGTGGCCTTCACTTTTGTGCGTTGTATGCTAAGGCTCAACAACGAGATAAACTCGGCATTGCCATCGGGATTCCCAGCTTTGACATCCAGCCAACTCGACCTCGGTGCCCCTGCGCTCTCAGGCTCCTCCAGCCGCTGCTGCAGCTCGGCCACCGACACCTCTCCTCCCTTCGCCTTGGGCTGAGTTGACCAGACGAGTTGAGACGCTTGGGGGGCGCGAGGTGACGCGAGACCGTTGAGCTTTCCATGGCAGTTGGGTCCCTGCCAAGAATTGCCAAAGCTTGTATTGAACGGCGCTTTGTGGCAAGATTGTCTTCCAGGAGAACAGCACAGACTGTGTTGTGTGCTGGCAAGCACTTCCGTACGCCCTCAATCTTAAACGTCCAAGTCAGGATCGCACTGCAATGCCCAATGGATTTGGGTGCGGTGCTCTCTTTTCTTGAGAAGGTCAAGTGCAAACAAGAAATGTGTTTGAAGGCTGCTGGCATCCTGGGGGAGAAAGTACTGCAGCTGCTCCTTCGTTTGGGCGCCGGTTGCCTCAGCGATGTTGGCTGCCCGTCTTGTTGAAAAGATCACATCCACCACACAGCCTCACGCTAGAGGTTGACCTCTGGCGTGCGTTCCTAATATTTGGGCAACCGGTGTGCTCTTGAATGCGCTGACCGCTGGCGTGTGCTTGACATTTCGGGTGTGCTGGTGTGTGCTTAACATTTGGATTCATCCTCTGAGCAGGGCTACTGGCAAAGAGACCTGGATCGAACTTGACCAGAGTCGAGAAGGAATGAATCTCAGGCACGCCGCCATTTCGGTACACAGCTGGCTTTGTACTTGCCATGAGAGTCGCAGGGAAAGGAAACATTATCAGAACCCTGTGGCCCGTGGATCGCCCCGATGTCACGGGGAAGAAAACAACTGGCACCCACCACACCTCTGTTGCCATGTCCATTGTTCTTGCTGAATCAAACTCCTCTTGGGCAATTCTGCATGGTAACGGAAGCACACCCAATCCAGTCTTGCCAGTTTGCACTTGCTAGATTTCCTCCCCCTCGCCAAATTGTCAACCTTCCCGCTAAGATGACTGCCCAGAGATGTGGCCTTCACTTTTGTGCGTTGTATGCTAAGGCTCAACGAGATAAACTCGGCATTGCCATCGGGATTCCCAGCTTTGACATCCAGCCAACTCGACCTCGGTGCCCCTGCGCTCTCAGGCTCCTCCAGCCGCTCTCCCTTCGCCTCAGAAGATGGGATGGGCTGACCGTCTGACCAGACGAGCGGCGCGAGGTGGCACGAGGGCACGAGCCTGCCCGGGAATTTTGCCAAGGCTTGGTATTGAAAGGCGCCTTGTAGCAGAAACTTTTTTGGCAATCACATGCCCTGCTCTCTGGAGTCCAGAGATTGATAGCATGAAACACCTTGAAACCATCCCTCTATGAGAGCATCTCTATTGACTTGTCAGGTTGAGAAAATGGTCATGGCAGGGATGCACGCATGGCAATGGGAATACGTCTGGAATCTTGGCGTTGGGAGAGGTCTGGAAATCCAACGCACCACTACAGAGCAGCGTGGCAAATATTGCCTGTCCTTTGTGCCAGTGGATGACATCTGCAATGCAGGTGGTTGAAAGGATGGCTTTGGTTGAGATCATGACCGACCGGCTTGATAAGGCTGCAAAATTGCTGACTGCCTAAACAAGTAAACTTTGACTCAACCTAGCTCAATCGGTGAGCTAAAACCTGTGCCAAACAAACATATACATGTAAAACACGTATGGTACCTGTTGTCAGTCGTGTTGTCACTCTTGGGCAACTGTCTAAGGCACAGCATCTTCAACTCCTAAAGTCAGAAACAGGTTCACGGAGAGACAACTCCATCTGCGCCAGGCCACAGAGCCCAAGTCCAAGTCATCCTCGCCCCAGCCATCCTCCTCATCCATCGCATGCACGGCCCCAGGCCAATTGATCTAGTCGGAATCACAGGGGGGTCTTGCAGTCGCGTCTGTTCAATGAAGTTCGCCGTGATGATTATGCTTGCGCTTACACGTCCTGACAGATCTCACTCGTTGGAGGCTCAAGCACAAAGAAGGCATTCTAAAAGCTGCTCGATTGCTGTAAAACGTGTCGAACTCATGCCAAATCCGCGACTCCAGGTGGCAATGGTCAGTTCTCCTGTTGGCCTCAATCCTCTGCCTTGACCTAAAGCCTTTCCTTCGGTTGCCAGAGCCAAATGTCAGGGATCGCTGGAGTGCTGCTCTGACGCGCTAAAATGGACCCACTATTTGTGTCTTGCTCCATTGTGAAGTCTGGCCTCAGCTCTGGTGAGATAAGCTTGTTCATGCGAACAACTTTGATCTGCAGCACGGGCAGCTCAGGCAGCAAATCGATGTGCAGTGAATATCTGTGTCTCTGCCTCAACCTGTGTCTATCTGTGAGTGTAGTTGCGTTTCTTGACTGCGTATATTGCCCTTTCCTCGGCTCACGTGATATTCTTGCAAGGAGAGCAACACTGGCTCTTGGGGGCTTGCTGCAAGCCCTCACAAATTGCTCTCGTAGTAAGTCCCCTTGACCTGAAGGATGGAATCCTCATCCTCACTCAGATGCAAGTGCCCACTGCAACAGTTCTCAGATCGGGCTTGTCAGCCCAAGATCGTGATAGGAATCAACAAGGATAAAGGATCATTATCATCATCATCATCATCATCATCATCATCATCATCATCATCACCATCATCATCATCGTCATCATCACCATCACCATCGTCATCATCATCATCACCATCATCGTAGTCATCATCACCACCATCATCATCATCATCATCACCATCACCGTCGTCATCATCATCATCATCACCATCATCATCATCATCATCATCATCACCATCATCATCATCATCATCACCACCATCATTATTATCATCACCACCACCATCATCATCATGATCATCATCTGCCTCATCATCTGCCTCATCATCTGCCTCATCATCTGCCTCATCATCTGCCTCATCATCTGCCTCATCCTGCCTCATCCTGCCTCATCCTGCCTCATCCTGCCTCATCCTGCCTCATCCTCATCCAACAGGCTTTGAATCGCGCTCTGGACCCCAAGCCATCATCAAAAAGCGTTTGATCGATAGTTGGGTATCATGTGCAGCTAGCACACATGTGCTTCTGGCAAGGCTGCTGAATCAAGTCTGAACCAGAGTCATTGCCAAGCACAAATCAGGGATTGCCGAGAAAGGATACGATTTCCATAAAGTTGCCTTTATTGACAACCAGACTGCCCCAGCTTTCTCCCCATGGCGGTCGCAAGTCAGACCGATACGCTGCCGCGGGTCCCTCCACAGCCATGCAATAAATGAATTTAGGAGAGCATTGAAAAAACTGCAGCGTCACACCAAGAGGAGCGGCTATGTTCCTCCTCTCGTCACCTCAAAGAACTCACGAGATAGGCCTGTGCAACGAGAACGTGCCAACGTTTCAGCGGCCATGGATAGTGTTAGAGTTCAGCAAACAGTACGCACGAGCTAGAAAGGCCTCAAATCCCCTGGTCACAGCCCCAAACTGTGGCCAGTGCTCTCCTCTCCAGATGCCACCCGATGGCATCCTGCCTAAAAGTTCCCCGGATGAGATGCTAGGAGCTAGAGAGAGCAGCGCCAGCGAAATTGCCCAGGCACACAGAGAACAGACTCTAAGGTTCTGAAAACAGACCATATTGGAACTGGCCCACGCGCCAAACCAGCTCGCACAACCTCAAACGTATGGCTTTGTTCGCATTTCAAAGCAAAAAAACTCTGCTAGGCATTCTGCATAACGTCAGCAGCTAGTAGCATCTGACCAAGGCTGGTTGAGGATATGTGTACGTATATGTACGTGCATGTACATTTATACGGATATGTGAACATACTATATCTACTTATAAACCAAATAAACTACATTGTGTATGTATGTATGTATGTATGTATGTATGTATGTATGTATGTATGTATGTATGTATGTATGTATGTATGTATGTATGTATGTATGTATGTATGTATGTATGTATGTATGTATGTATGTATGTATGTATGTATGTATGTATGTATATATATATATATACACAATGTCGTTGTGCCACTCGCATGCGCTTGCACATTAACTAAATCTTCCTCATCGGCTCATCATCATGCATTCTGCATGGGACCAAAGTCCGCACATCTGCCGGTGGCACTCTGCTCGTGCTGACCAATGATGCAGGGCTCATGGTCACACATTGAATGCATTGCCCCAATTCACATACGTAAACTCAATCTAATCTGAAGACAAAAGGCACATTACCTCACATCCTTCATGATGTTGACGGTCAGTAAGCTGAGCAACAAGCAGAAATGTGGGTTCCACCGGCCGATGGCAATAACGCAAGTGCACAAATACCGTGTCGCGTTTATCCTTATGAAACGGTGCAACGTTCCCGGCTGCGTCGCAGGACCCTTCCCTGCGAATGTCATGCAATAGCGCATCGGGAGTTGATGCGTCCGGCATGCCCTAGCTGTGCCAGCAACAAGCTCATGACTTTGAACTGGCACAGCTCTGCAGACACACGCCAGCGATGAACCCAAGTGCTGCAACTGGCAAGAGAGCATGTCACAATCATCTCAGAGAATCCGCAAGGATGTAGCACTCCAAAGCCATCCTGGCAGCTGGCTGGCGCACCCACCCTAGTTAATTCACATGTCATTTCACACTGTCACAGCATGTGTCATTGTTTGAAAACATGAGTTTGGTCCCTCTGTGGGCTATAGACGTGTCCTTTGTGTATATGTGTGTATAAATCCATAAATACAGTATCAAAGCGTATGTCAAGTTGATGTGAACCGTGTTCCGCTCCGACATATGACCCCCCAAAAGAGTAGTGCCTTGAAGGTCTAGATACTTCACTCCCAAGGGCCAACCGTCTTCATAACAGGAGACTGAGGCAAAGAGGCCTCGTTCCTTGGCAAGAGCGACAAGCGCTCGTTAGAGGCCTGCCCATGTGGGCTATCCTTCGCGACAGCACTGGAGTCGCATCACACATTGGCCATCTGGATTCTTCCTCAGCAATGCCAACACACATCTGCAAACGATGAAAAGGCGTAAACGCCACAAACGGATGGTTGTCGCGCAACAAATTGTTCAGCACAGTCTCATGTTTCTAGCTTATCTGTTTGAATAAATAGGCCCTGTTGGGACCGGTACTGTACAAGCAAGGTTCTGCGAGGCCTTGACTTCACTTGCGTTTAGCTCAAGGTCACTCAGTTTTGGATAGCCCCTCTCTCCCTTATTGAAGAAATCCAGAAGAGTGCCTGCTCTACTTGCGGATGCCACCAAAAATGTGTATATATTGATGGACACGGGTGCACGAACCCTAAGTAATGAAGCTGTGTGAGGGCGGGTTCAAAGGATTATTAAATGGTGATTGTACTTTGACACAACTGATGCGCTGATCAAATTGCACAAAAACAGCACATATCCAAGAAACACGGCAAAGCACCAGTTCTTTACTGGCTTTGCCATGTGTGCACCTATGCTGTCTTGCAGTCGGGCAAATGCACAGCCAGCAAATCCCTGTCACTTTGTCACCCCAAGCAAAATCTTATGAAAGCGACTCTAACAAGGGAGCAATAAATAACATGCGTTGAGGATAGGGAGAGGGGTGCTGTACTGTTGGACACTCAAACTAGCTTAAATTTGCCTCCTGCTCCTCGATGAAAATGCAGCTCGGCGCGAAATGAGACAAAGCCCAGCCTCAAATGTCGAAGTTCGATGAGCTGTTGTATGCCTGGGCCAAAGCACGCGGCTTGGCGCTTTGTCAGGCGCTTGGATAGTCACCCCTCCCAAGTCTTGCGGACCATTGGCCAGCATGTGAAGACAGAGCCCAAAATGAGGAAAAGATAGGCTGTCTGATGGACAGGTGAACGGAAGAACGAGCTTCAGCCTCTAGACTTTGTCACGGGATTGAGTCATCCTGCAGACCTCAAACTGCCCTCAAAGACCTCCAAGAGCGATTTCCTTTGAGAGCCCTGTTGGTTTCCTTTCAAATATCATGACAGCAGGGTCGCTCTAACGCCAGTCAGCTCTGGGCAGGCAACCCGGGTCACAGTGACGCGCGCGGGCGGCGGCGGCAGAGCCGCCAGCACCTGGAACTCACGCCTCCCTACTTGCAACCAGCGTTTTTTGGCTTGGAGAAATGGCTTGTTGTTCTTCTCTGTGGAGCTTGGTGGCTTAGCATCACAAGCTCCATTTGATTGGTTTCCACAGGACTGGCCTGTGAAGTTGCTTCCGTCGCCTCGCTGGGATTGTTCTCTTGTTGACTTGTCCAATGACAGAAGCCAACGCTCTGAGTGGTGCTTTTTTTGGTGAATCCTGCAAGTGCTGATGATAGTAAACATGAAAGCAATCGACGTCAGAGTCCTCACGTGCATGTTTTTGAGCCATCCAGCTTCGCCGCAAGGGCTACGAAGTAGCTCGAGGAGCCCTCCAAAATGACGCGTGGCAAAGAAATTCATTCATGAGAGGCCGGAGCCCTGAGAGGGGGTCGTTTACACGTAAAACTTGCTCAGTTTGCGATGTATGTACGGTGTGAGGGATTGTTTTTTTTTAAAAATTTTCTTCTGATTTACCGTAAATAATCCGACGCCAAATTAATCAATGTTTACTCCTACTGTACATGGAGACCATAAAAAAGTTGGCTGGTCAATAACCATAGAGAACTCAACTGTTTGTCAAATAACATTTATTATTTGCTTGGTTCTCTTTATTGAATTGAATTGGTTCTTGCCATCTAGCATGTTTTTTTTTTTTTTTTTGACAGAAGTATCATCATCATTTGTTTATCATCCTGGTTATGATTATTATTATTCTCATCTTCATCTTCAGTACTGTCACAAATGAATAAAATTAAGTAAATTTACTGATTTCATGTTTTGTGTTTGTGTGGTTTTTTCTTATCTGCTTTGTGTGGTCATAATGAACCTTACAACTGAGCGCGTTAATTTGGGAATGTAGTATAAGTGATGAGTGTTGGGCAATGAGTGTTAGTAAACACAGGATGTATTTTGACATTTCATCATCAGGTCTGTTTGAAGGCATTCCAACACTACATCTGCTTCTGTCGCAGCGTCTGTTCAACTCTGTCGCAGCGTCTGTTCAACTCTGTCGCAGCGTCTGTTCAACTCTGTCGTCCTTCTTCCCTCGACTATCTCTAGTTCCCATGATGAGAATACAAATACTAGGGGTGAAAGAATACTAAAGGATTAGGGGGATACTAGAGGAACTCTAAGTGGAATACTGGGGGAATATTCAGGGAATCTAGGGAAGTGCTAAGGGTGAATGCTCGAACAATACTAGGGGAATACTGAGGGAATACTTGGGGAATAATCAGGGAGCTAAAGGAGTACAGGGGGAATACCGAGAAAATGATAGGGGACTACTAGGGAAATAGTGAATACTAGGAGAATGCAAGGGGATCAGCAAGGGATGTATTGGGCTATATTGAGGGAATATTGGGGGAGTAAGTACTGAGAGAATACCCGGGGTATACCAAGAAAATACTAAGGGAATGCTAGGGCAATATTAGCGGAATACTAGGATAATTCTTGGAAAATAGCCCCAAACTAGAAAGACAATATCGAGGAAAACCCTCAAAAAAAAAAAAAAAAAAAAACAGACAAAGGGCAATGGGTATAACGGTCTATATAACCAAAACATACCCCTCAGGAGCTTGTTTTTGGTTTTGGGTATTGGGCATGACCAAAACATGTCCCGCGGGACTTTGTTCTTTTTCTTGGAGTTGTTTCTGTTTTTGAAATGAGCCTCAACTCGAGCCCGAACGGGGGGGTAGCTCCCTTCATGTGCAAACAGTCGATTTGGCCTTTGTTCTCCATACGCTTGCTGGTTTCTGTTTGAAGTCCCCGTAGGCTTGAGACTTGGATTCGGGTTTTGGAAGGCGAATTTGATTGCACCAAGCGGATAACGCTTGCAAAGCCCAATCATTGCAAGCCCATCTGAGGTCAATATGTGTCACAAACATGAGCTACAGACCGATACACGCTATGCGCAGCCCACTTCAACTATGGCCTTGCGCTGGGACAAATGACCACTTGGAACTTTTGCACTGAAACACATCGAGCGGCCAGGCAAGCATGGGATGCAGGCTTGCGAAGGGGCCCTTGGTGTTTGAAGCCTGGATGCTGCACCTGCGGCCAGAGACTGCTGGAGGAGACCAGCTTCTTCAGGAAGTTCTCCTAGCCAAGATACCAAAATGCCGAAGGCAGGCCGAAGGTCTCCCGGCTGACACGTCTGCCAAAGAGGATTGGCCGACTGAGTGTTGAACAAGGTCGTACCCTTCCCAACAGGACACGATTACTTTTCTAGGAAGAAGTTTGAAGGAAGACAGCAAACACTCACGCTCTTCAGCATTCTGCCAAGCATCTCTCTGCAAGAACAACAACAGAGTCCTTTGCTGGATCGCCTTGCTCTCTCAAATTCGAAACATCTAACATTTGGAAGCTACCACACCAACGAGAGGAGCGGTTTTGTCCGCCAGTGACTGCTCCGGGTCTATGCATGGCTGCTGGTGCCGATGCACCTGAACAGTGAAAACGCTAGGCCTGCACAGGAAGAGTCCTTGGGGCTCTACCTCATGCGCGGTGCAGTTGCGACAATCCGGAGGGCAATCCCTGTCAGCCAACTATCATCGTCCCTGCTACGTCATCTTCACTTGGAGCTTGGGAAAAGCACCCAGCCCAGCAAAGAGATTCCCCGTTGAGCAAACTGACAGTGCTCACCCCAAAACTGGGGGCGAAGGAGAGAGCGACACAACCGGCCAGTGCCAGATCCCCGATTCCTCAGCCGCCTTCTCTTTGTCAAGAACCTCTGGTGCCTCCGCGCAAGTGCAGTCTCGCAAGCAAAGCACGTGCACGAAATCAGAAACAGGCTTGTCTCAAAATGAGGAGCCACCCAAATGCTTGCCGTCAACTGAGAGTGCCGAAACTGAGACATGGCTGCGGGTCAAAAATAGATACCCAATAGGTGCCGAAAATGGAACCCTGGAAAATGGAACCAAGGACTAAAACCTGCGGTCCCCTGGTTGGTTTATTTTGACACGTAGCCACATATGCCAAATGCTATTTGGAACAAAGGCCAGGGATGCTGGCCTCCTGCAGCATCTTCTCCCCCAGCGGAGGGCGGCCCTGACGCTTGGCATCTCGCGGCTGAAACCATAGCGAGTATTCACAACGAAGATCCGTCCAAGCTTGCGGGTAAAGATGCTGTTTATGGTGTGATGTGCACTGTTTATGTGTGGAAAGCAGGCATTCTTTGTTCAAAAGCGGTCAAATGGAACTATTCTCTGAACCTGCCTAAGAGATTCTGTGGGAACCACAGAAAATCATTTTCACACCGCGCTCACAACCTTGCCGGGAGGATTGCTGGGCTGCCTGGAATTTATGTTGTACCACTATAGTTCGTGTGATGTTTGCTGGCTTCAACGCGGGTAAGCACGAAGCCGCCAGGGATTCCCAAGCAACTAAGTTTGCTCTGACAAGCATGTGGTTGCTTGCAATCGTCGAGCAAAGCTACAAGGTATCTGCGTCCCAATGTACAGCAGCTTGAAATCAGTCCACGTCATTTAGAAGTTCCATGCAAGCACACGTTCCCGTGGCTTCCTTTGACTTTGATCTTGCGACAGTTTGGTTGTAACCGGAATCGCCATGAAATCCGGGATTTCAGTTGAACGGGTCCCTAGTGTCAAGACACAGCCAAGTCCACAATAGCAAAGCCTCGACCTGTTTGCGTTCCTCTCGCCTTTCTCCTGCTTTCTGAACAAGACGAAACCCATTCATCGCCTTCGGAGGCCTCTCTGCAAGTGGTGCGCGCTCCTGGCAGTTTGGTAAGTAGCACTCAAGCGGACAGTACAAAGCACCACGTACCAAACGAACCATGCTGCCCATGCGTTCATCCGCACGACGGAAGTGGACAACTGCTGCTATTGATTTGTTGAGTGTTTCGATGCCATGCCTACACACCCGTACTCGGTCAACTTCTTTCGTGACTACTAACTAGCATTGACTCTCTCCCAGGACAGGTCCCAAACAGAATTCTGCTGAAGGTTGGCAACACTTCCGGGCGAACCAGCTCATGGCCCCGTCGAATTGGACCGCCTGGCACTGGACTGTGGAACCAAACAAACGGCGCTCGGCCAACAACTCAGAAGTTCCCCACTTGAGCCCTGGCTCCATTCGCCCATCCATGCATTGCGTCTGCTTGAACAGTTTCTGAGCAGCAGAAAGCACTGTTTCGAAAGAAAAGAGAGCCATGTGCATGTACAAAAAACCTACCACAGAACCAAGCAGAAGAGCGGTTCGAAAGCATCCCCGAATCATCGTATGTATGATGTAGCACCTACAAGCGTGAACGTGTCACACATCATGTTGTGCTTGTTTTCCATTCGTTACTATATGCAAGAAGGCAAACAAACCAGCAAGCAAGCAAGCAAGCAAGCAAGCGAAGCAAGCAAGCGAGCAAACAAACAAGAAAGCAAGCAAGCAAGCAAAGCAAGCCAAGCAAAGCAAGCCAAGCAAGCAAGCCAAGAAAGCAAGCCAAGCAAGCGAAGCAAGCAAGCCAAGCAAACAAGCCAGCCAGCCAGCCAGCCAGCCAGCTAGCAAGCGAATCAAGCCAAGCAAGCAAGCGAAGCAAGCAAGGGAAGCAAGCCAAGCAAGCAAGCGAAGCAAGCAAGCAAAGCAAGCCAAGCAAGCAAGCAAAGCAAGCAAGCGAAGCAAGCAAGGGAAGCAAGCCAAGCAAGCCAAGCAAGCAAGCGAAGCAAGCAAGCAAAGCAAGCCAAGCAAGCAAGCCAAGCAAGCAAGCAAAGCAAGCAAGCCAAGCAAGCCAAGCAAAGCAAGCCAAGCGAAGCAAGCCAAGCAAGCCAAGCAAGCAAGCAAAGCAAGCAAGCCAAGCTAAGCAAAGCAAGCAAGCAAAGCAAGCCAAGCCAGCCAGCCAGCCAGCCAGCCAGCCAGCCAGCTAGCAAGCGAATCAAGCCAAGCAAGCAAGCGAAGCAAGCAAGGGAAGCAAGCCAAGCAAGCAAGCAAAGCAAGCAAGCGAAGCAAGCGAAGCAAGCCAAGCAAGCAAGCAAAGCAAGCAAGCCAAGCAAGCCAAGCAAAGCAAGCAAGCGAAGCAAGCCAAGCAAGCAAAGCAAGCAAAGCAAGCCAAGCAAGCAAGCAAAGCAAGCAAAGCAAGCGAGGCAAGCCAAGCAAGCAAGCAAAGCAAGCAAGCAAAGCAAGCAAGCGAAGCAACACAAGCGAAGCAAGCCAAGCAAGCAAAGCAAGCAAGCCAAGCTAAGCGAAGCAAGCAAGCAAAGCCAGCAAAGCAAGCAAGCCAAGCGAAGCAAGCCAAGCAAGCAAGCAAAGCAAGCCAAGCGAAGCAAGCCAAGCAAGCAAGCAAAGCAAGCAAGCGAAGCGAAGCAAGCCAAGCGAAGCAAGCAAAGCAAGCAAGCAAGCAAAGCAAGCAACCGAAGCAAGCAAGCGAAGCAAGCCAAGCAAGCAAGCAAAGCAAGCAACCGAAGCAAGCAAGCGAAGCAAGCAAAGCAAGCCAAGCAAGCAAGCAAAGCAAGCAAAGCAAAGCAAGCAAAGCAAGCCAAGCAAGCCAAGCAAGCAAGCAAAGCAAGCAAGCGAAGCAAGCAAAGCAAGCAAGCGAAGCAACACAAGCGAAGCAAGCCAAGAAAGCAAAGCAAGCAAGCCAAGCTAAGCGAAGCAAGCAAGCAAAGCCAGCAAAGCAAGCAAGGGAAGCAACACAACCGAAGCAAGCCAAGCAAGCAAAGCAAGCAAGCCAAGCTAAGCGAAGCAAGCAAGCGAAGCCAGCAAAGCAAGCAAGCGAAGCAAGCCAAGCGAAGCAAGCCAAGCAAGCAAGCAAAGCAAGCCAAGCGAAGCAAGCCAAGCAAGCAAGCAAAGCAAGCAAGCAAAGCAAGCCAAGCGAAGCAAGCCAAGCAAGCAAGCAAAGCAAGCAAGCGAAGCAAGCAAGCGAAGCAAGCCAAGCAAGCAAGCAAAGCAAGCAACCGAAGCAAGCCAAGCAAGCAAGCAAAGCAAGCAAGCAAAGCAAGCCAAGCGAAGCAAGCCAAGCAAGCAAGCGAAGCAAGCAAGCGAAGCAAGCAAGCAAGCCAAGCAAGCAAGCCAAGCAAGCAACCGAAGCAAGCCAAGCAAGCAAGCAATGCAAGCAACCGAAGCAAGCCAAGCAAGCAAGCAAAGCAAGCAAGCAAAGCAAGCCAAGCGAAGCAAGCCAAGCAAGCAAGCAAAGCAAGCAAGCAAGCAAGGAAGCAAGCGAAGCAAGCCAAGCAAGCAAGCAAAGCAAGCAACCGAAGCAAGCCAAGCAAGCAAGCAAAGCAAGCAAGCAAAGCAAGCCAAGCGAAGCAAGCCAAGCAAGCAAGCAAAGCAAGCAAGCGAAGCAAGCAACCGAAGCAAGCCAAGCAAGCAAGCCAAGCAAGCAAGCAAAGCAAGCAACCGAAGCAAGCCAAGCAAGCACCCTGAAGGGACAAGAACATGATTGAACGCTCGAGTCAGTTGCCACGCCTGCGTGCATTCTGCCAACACCTGGAGGACCTGAACCTGCGACAAAGTTCCAAATTCGCTTTGCTGCTTGGGACTGCCGTCTTGTTCAAAGTTTAGCAGGAGAAAGCGAGAGCGAGAGAGAGAGAGAGAGAGAGCAAAAAAAACCTCCGTACCAAAGGAAGAAAACGTACTCCCCGCTGACCAGACTTCCACCCTTAGCAAAGCCGCAGCGAACTGTAGCTAAGCAAAGAAAGCCTAGCCCATGCATTGATACATGACAAATCAGTGAGCTGCCAGCAACATGCAGACAAAATGGATGGCTGGAATTCACAAACTGTTTTGACGCGCGCCCTAAAAACTCAAGGTGTTCTTGGGCTTGGACCTGAGAAACACACAAGCGCTGTCGGATTTCAGCCCGTCTGTTGCAACCTCTGCCATCCGAGATCGCCCAAGTGTTGACGTCCTAAGGTGAAACTACCCCAAAGCTGCACATGTTCCTCTCGAAAGTACGAGAGTGTCTTGGAAGCTGCAGCCAAGAGCCGCGGTGACTCAGGCCCCGGCGATGGTGCCGACACCTCCTGGGTGCCGAGCCTTTGGCTGAGGAAGCTGAAGGATCAAATATATGAGAAAGAATGAGAAACAATGAAAAGGATGAAAGGGATGGAAAGGATGGAAAGGATGGAAAGGATGGAAAGGATGAAAGAGAGGCGGTCTGTGGGGTCATAGGAAAGCCAGCGTCAGAGTACAGGGCCGGGGGGGACGCCCGTGGATTTCAAGAATACAATATCAAAGAAAATATGATCCTCGATGGAAAAAAGTCCCAGCCCAAAAACTGGAATATGCCCAACTCATCAAACACAATGCTTCACATGCCTTTGCAATGCAAAAAGCCCAATAGGATTAGATGAGCATTGACTGATGTTTTCTAAATGAATCTCAACAGCAACACTCTAAGGCGTGTGCATCCTCTGCGAGATCACTGTTCCAGCTTGAACACAGGAATGTTGTCTGCATCAGCATGTGAGACAAAAGGAACATGCCCCGAATGGGGGGAGATGCCGTCACTCGTCTATTTCCACACTCACAAAAATGCGCAAATGTGAGTTCTTGCCTTTGGTGTTTGTGAAAATCTAGCAGGGAAGCTTGACAAGGAGAGTCATTCCCCGCACTAAGGGGCAAATGGCATCCTACTTCACGTGTTCCAACCAGCCTCCAAAAGAAAGTGTCTCGTTTGTGTGACAGCACCCCCCCCGCTTCCTCCAAAGCGAGAGCCGGATCTCACACCATCGAATCGTGCAACCAAACGGCTGCCAGGCCACCTCCACGCGGTGCCAAACAGGCCCCCCCCCAATGCCAAACCTGACTGGAAACCGATGGAATCCGAATGGCGATCGGGACCCATCGCCTTGGGCTTCTCCGGGTTGCCTCAGAGCGCTTCACGAGCTCAACACAGCCCTAGAAGCCTCCTAGCCTTGTGAAAATCGCCAAAAGGTGTCTTTGCAATGTTGCTTTTTCGAACCTTTCACCTGATCGGCGTGTGCTTTCTACTAATAAAAGTCTTGGGCAGTGCTCAAAAGATGCTGAAAGTTGGCTTGTGAAAGTAGGGGGTGTCACATAGCCATGCAATGAGCGGACTTTCTCGTGAGCTTCCGAACGCCAGCGAACATTCCGAGTGCTCAAAAAGGCTTCGACAAGGACACTGACGTCACGTGGAAACCAATACCCAGCGGGAAACGCATCAGACCTGGGCCATGCTTCCGCGACGCGAATTCCGGCAATGTATGAATCAGGTGGCGGTTGCACTTCATGCTTCTCTTGCAAAACAGGAATGCAACTGGTCCGCGGGTGTGAAGGACGTCTTCCGAATCAGAACAACATCGTCTTTACATTGTATGCAGGTCAACTATATTGCTAAGATTGGTGAAATCCAAGAACTGTATTCCTCTGAGAGTATGTCCTTTGACCCTTCTCAAATGGATCAGTGATTAATTTAAGGAACTTACACTATTGTAAACCGCTCGTTCCACGCAAGTGTCGCTGCCAAAAATCATGCACCTTACTTGCTCAGTGGCACTGATTCTTGTCGGACCTTGCCCCGTCTGCTTTAGACAAACCCATCCAGACTATATGATCTTAAGAGGATGCCTCTCACTGGTCAGTCTTCAAAGTAAACATGCACAGCATGCCGAGGGCTAAGGGAATCCCCAGACAGTATCAGTATGCTGGCTGCAGATATGCCTCAGTGTAGAAAAGGCTCCCCGAGGAAAAGGCACAGGCTGTTTTCTTCCAAAATGAATAACATAGCACGGATAGACAGCGGCTAATCAAGAGGCCACTTCAGCACATCCAACCATTCCACTGGCGATGCTTTATTCCGCACAGTTCCCTTTTGTCGAACCCATCGAATGCACGCAAGGATTTCAACGTAGGCTCAGCTTGCAAGCAGCCCCGGTTTCAACCCTGAGGCACTGGCACTCAGCCTGGCAAATTCACAGAGATATGAAGAATCTAACACTGAATGTGGTACGTCCACTGAAGGGTGCCTGTTTCGATCAAATCCTGGTCACAAGGAGCCGTACAGTTGCTGTTCAATTGATTAAAGGATGGAATCAGGGCACTTTCAACATTCGATCGACTACAAGATGTGTGAGGGATTGCGGACGATGAGGCACTGTCTTTGTGAAAGACTCTCGCAGTACGTCTTCAAAATCCACAGCTTAACGATGCTGCGATGCTGATGGTTCTTGTAGTATGACAAACTTGAAGAGTCCGCCATTGCTTTTCATGGAACTATTCTTGCACAGGCTTCTATTGGATTTTGGAGGGGATGTGGGATGTGGAGTGGCTTCGCGAAGGGGTTGGGAGAGATTCAGAGTAGTTTGGGCTAGGGTTCTGAAAGAGTTCCGGTGGTTGTTGTTGGGATATGGAGTTAAGCACCTGGTTGTCATGGCTAAGGGGTATTGGTGAAACCCTTACCACATGGGCTTGTTTTGCAGCGGACGTTGGTGAAACCCTCAATTGAATATTCGCAAAGGTGTTTGCGGTCCGCATGCATATATTGATTCCAAGCCAAACACCGCCCCAATGCCTGATATCTACGCATGGTGTGTGCCTCTTAGAAATCAACATCGATTCACGCGAAGTGCAGCCACCTGTCTGTTCACTGGGCGGCAAAAATTTGTCAGACCTTGACCTTGAGCTCCCCTTTTGCTGCTGACTGCTTTGGCTGCAGAACTCCAGGCTGCCAGCAGCCGGCAGTGCCATGCCGTCTGCAACTCTTCCTGCGCGATCGTGAGGCGGTTCGACGCTTGTGTTCTGCTGTAGCGTTGGCTTTTACCGGCTTATGTTTCTGAATATATCTCAACACACATATGGTCAATTGTGAGTTGGTGTGGATAAATGCATGCATAGAGGTATACATATACGCTTGCACTGATAATCTGAGAGCAAGTCATTAATCCAAAAGCATAGATCCAAACCATAATCAGCAGCTAGGAATTTCTCGGTGGATTCGCACTTCTCTCTGAGGACCGCGGACAGCCAAGGAGATAATCTGCAGAGCTCTGTGTCAACTTGTCAGGCATGATGGTCTATTCGGCCCAGCCACCAGCCAGCTCCGCCAGCCCCAGCGCTTGTTTTGCTTACAACCCCCCACCCCCAACTCCAGCCCCGGCTCAAGGCCAAGCGCAGGTTCCAGGCCCAAGCGCCAGGCAAAGCAGCCGCCCAACTTTCCGACCTTCAGGCGAGAGCCAAGGCGCTGGCTAAGCCCGTCGAGCCCAGTCCAGCTTACTGCCGCTTCGTTGGCCGGCCCCCGCAGCTCGAGCTCAAGTTCCCGGCAATCACGTTGCGCTGCAGCGTCGGCATCATTTGCTCAAGCCAGCATTGCTCTTGTGGTTCTTTTGAGCCTGCCGAGGCGGGCAGCGCGCAGCAGTTACAACAAGTTAGCTTGTGATTCGTGATGTCACAATGTGATGATTGTGTGAGCTAATGCGCTCGAGACTGTGATGAAACATGTTGGTCAATGATAAGTCTAGAAACAACCTAACTTATGGCTATCGCCTCTTGCTTGTAGTCATTATACTGAGTTTAGCACGCTAGCATGGTTAATTTGTGGAACTGCGACATCACACCAAACCCAAGGGTCGGTCGCCATTCTGCTTGGCTCGATGGCTTGAGATCACACATCTTCAAAGCGCCGCTCAAGCCGAGGGCACACGTCCGTAAAACGCACCCGATCGGCCCTAGGAGCGCGCGAACATCCTGCGCGATCCGCGCCCTCGGGTATGAACCGACCTGACTTGCAGCCTTTAGCTTTGCCCTCCCGGCTTTCGCAAAGCCAACCAACCAATTTGAACCAATCCCCTGCGCAAACCCAGTGCGCCTGCCGCACCACCGCCAGCATGTGTGCTGCCGCTAGTTGCTCGCGGCGTAGGCGCGCTGCCTGTAAGGGTTACCATCAAATGCAATGACGGGAGTAGACACCTGCATGTCGCCATCTGCAATGTGCAAACCAAGGATGCTGCTGCCCCCACTCGCTCACCGACATCCCACCAGCGCCCAAATGGCCATCTGGTCCCGCCGGCCTCCTTCTGCAACCGGACCGTCGGCTCCAGCGGTACCAGCCCGCGCCAGAGCCGCAGTGCCCAGAAGAGCAACGCCCACGGGCCATCCGCCTAGCGGCGAGAGCGTGACAATCAGCTATGTCTGGTTCGTAAGAGCCACGACGGCTGAGAACAGCTCTCATCCCTGCAACTCCTGCCTTGGGCGCCAACGGTGCCGCTTTGCCAGGAGCCTCGCGTGCCCAGGCGTGGAAGATCCGCTGGCTCCGTCTTTGGCCCATGGGCACACTACTCAGCGTTGAATGGCACACCTGGCGGGGAGGATGAGGCACACACGCAGGGAGAAAAGGAGGGGACAATCACACACGCATAGACCCGGAACAGGCAATGATGCAACGAGTTAGCTCAAATTGGTGCCGGCGATGAGGTTACGACGTCAGCGCGAGTGTTCCTGCGCCGAAGTACATTGGCTGGCAAGTACTTTGAAAACGAAGATAATGAAGGAAGAACGTAGCATCAATATAAAAGGATATCACTACGAGAGCGCATGCTTAAGGGCAACACCATGTGGGTTGCTCTACAAACATTGAATGCTGCATAAAATAGAGGCTAAAGTGCGATACGATGAGTCTGCACGGAGGCAACAAAAGCCTTACCTTGTGAGGACAGGCAAGCTACAAAAAGATTGGGTTTGCCGTAAAACCTTGGAAGACCTTATACTTGTCTAGCTAAAAATGTATACCGAGCAGCTTCTGGGCGATGTTCCTCCACGTTCGGGCCCATGGGCCTCTCGCATTCCCTGTGAAGTTGAGTCAAACCAGCATCCTTTCTGAGATTGTCTTGGAGGAAATACTACAGAAACCAACTTGTTGGCAAGGCCCACAGTTCGACAAGCAGCCCTGTGCCACTTTGGCCTGCGCCCGCCAGGCGCGCAGCACGCGCTGCACCTCGCGGCGCCCGGCGCGCCTCAACAGGCGCTCCAAGGCCGCTGGGGCCGCGGCCCTCCGCGCGTGCTGGCGCCACAAACGCAGCATGCGCCGCAGCAACCACTGTGGTGGTGCTTCATCACCTGGCACGCGCGCCCGTCATTCCTTCTTGCTTACTATTCACCAAGAAGCATAGACAAGCAAACAGACAGACCAACAGACTGAGAGACCAACAGACCGACAGACCGACAGAGAGTGATATAGAGAGATAGGCAGGCAGGCAAGCAGACACGCAAACGTCACAAACAGACCGACGGACCGACAGACTGACTGACAGGCACGCAGGCAGGCAGGCAGGCAGGCAAGCAGGCAAGCAGACACACAGACAGACAGACACAGACAAATAGATAGACCGACCGACCGACCGACAGACAGGCAGACACAGCCAAACAAACCCAGAGACAAACAGACAGACAGACAGACAGACAGACAGACAAACAGACAGACAGCCAGCCAGCCAGCCAGCCAGCCAGCCAGCCAGCCAGCCAGCCAGCTGGGCAGGCAGGCAGGCAGACAGGCAGACAGACAGATAGACAGACAGACAGGCAGACAGGCAGACAGACGAGCAAACAAACAAACAAACAAACAAACAAACAAACAAACAAACACACACAAAAAAAAGAAACAAACAAACACAAACACACACACCCACCCACCCACACACACACACGCACGCACGCACGCACGCACGCACGCACGCACGCACGCACGCACGCACGCACGCACGCACGCACGCACGCACGCACGCACGCACGCACGCACGCACGCACGCACGCACGCACGCACGCACGCACGCACGCACGCACGCACGCACGCACGCACGCACGCACGCACGCACGCACGCACACACACACACACGCACACGCACACGCACACACACGCACACGCACACACACACACACACACACACACACACACACACACACACACACACACACACACACACACACACACACACACACACACACACACACATACACACACACACACACACACACACACACACACACACACACACACACACACACACACCGGACCCCGCAAAAAAATCGGAATCGACGAGGTGCAACGCGCGGGCGCATGTACACACAATGAAACGAGGACCAGGGGAAACATGAACAAACTCGAGCCCGTCATGAATCATATGCAATTGTCGGCAACCCGGTGCAAGCCTGACAGGAAACAGAAGACCCGATTCCAACGCAGCAGAATCAGAAATTTGGCAGGTGGATTGCTATCACAAGCAGAAGAAAACGTTGTCGTCGGTGCCAACCTTGCTCTGTTCCTGGCATCACAGCCACACAGAGACACAGAGACACAGACACACAGACGCACAGACACAAAGACACAGACCCACAGACACACAGGCACACAGACACACAGAGAAAAAGAGACACAGAGACACAAAGACACACAAACAGAGACACACAAACAGACAGACACACAGACACACAGACATGCAGACACGCACGTACGCACCCACCCACCTACCCACCCACACACACACACACCTGTACCAACGCACACCTGTACCAATGCGGACGAGCAAACAGATAGACAGACAGACAGACAGACGAAAAAACAAACAAACAAACAATCAAGCAAGCAATCAGACAAGCAAACAATGAGACAAGCGAGCAGCAAGCAAGCAGGCAAAGCAGGCAAAGCAGGCAAGCAGGCAAGCAAGCAAATAAAACCAACAAGCGAACGAACAAGCAGACGAACAAACACAAATACATGGCCCACACACACATACACGTTCACCACACAAGCCCAAGGCAAGACGGATGTGAACGTGTCTGAAGTCACAATCCTGTGCCTCAAAACAGTCCTTTCAAACGAATGACTTGCTTTTGGCTCAAGCAACCGATCTGGCCTTTGTCGCGCACCCACAGACCACTCAGCCCAGTTCGCACCGTGGGCACGGGAGACATGCGCTGAGCCCCGCTCCGCGTAGGCCACTCGCCGCGAATTAAATCGAGCGCGTGTGCAGTCAAACTACAGCTGAAGCCAGATTCTTTTGCGGTCCAGCTATGAATCGATCTGAGGATCCTTTTTGACATGGCAAAAGAGTTCCTGCAAAAAATGTTCTAAACCGTTGGCAGGAAGTTCGATCAGCCCCAATGTGCCCATTTGGTCAGAGTGGAGGAACACTCCGGACATTGTCACTGGATGCGTCCAGTTGCAGTTGTCATGACGGCCTTTCGTCTCTGTGTGCGTGCGCACAAAAGGTAGAGACTCTGTATATCTCGTGAATGTTCGCCCGGTGATTCTACTAAACTAGCGAGCCACAAAAGCAGCGAGGAGCACAGAAAGACCTCAAAGCATGACCAGCATGCAAAGCTCCCAGCTGCCTCGTGCTGATTTGCCCTTGCGTTGCCGTGGAAGGTCCAAAGTCTAAGAATATGTCCAGATTCTCCAAGCCCAAGATGCTCAACATGGCTGCGAAACTGACGCCAGTCAGCTGAAATCAACCACGTCTGTGCCTGCCGTAGGAGAAAAGTCGAAGCCTCAGACTGTGTGCAGTTGGGCAAAAAACTCAAGCGTGTGACAAGTCGACACTAATTGCTCCGCCTCCGTTACGCAAAGATCAAAAAAGGTCAACACTAAATCAGTCAGGCAGACCGAACGCTGGTCCTCCAGGATGGCGTGGCAAAGTCCTCATTGCACCATCCAGCAAATAGAGCGACTGAAACAGCGTCAACCAACCTTGCCGGAGCAAATGTGTCGGAAATTGGACTGTATTGTTGGACGAAAAAACCCAAGGGAGAAGCGTTTACCTGACATGAACCCGCGTGGCAACTTGCAGAGTCCAGAGGCATGAGCCAGCCTGGCGATGTCTTGACCAAAGAAGGGATGGCACCGTAAAGTGTGTTTGTTGCTACTGCTGCTGGCAGCAGGGAAGCCGGAGATGACAGCCATACCTACAAACGCCACCCGCCTTCTTTGCCAAGCTCGGCTGGTTCTTCCTTGAAAGCTTCAGACCTTGCCCAATCTGCTAAGGTGGACAAATGCCCGGTTGTCCCCTTGCCTGTCCCCGTGCCGTCGGTCCTTGCAAGAGTTTCAGCTGCACAAAGATCTGGTCCTGCAGCTGGGGGCCTCGGCCGGAGGGCTTGCTCAAATGCACTCGAGCTGGACGCCAGAAAATTGGATCAAACAGTTCAACTAGCTGATCTCTCGAATCCATGCACTTATGTCCGTTCCCAGCGACGGGCTTGTACACAGAAAATTCAAGTGGTACACTGTGTACCTATTAGCTGCAAAGAAATGTCGGGCAGAAAGCTCGTCCGCTTTCCGCGAGAGTTTTTATAGGCTCAGCTTCGCAGGATTTAATGTACGCAAGCTGCGTTCTCCGCCCCAAACCAGGTTGTATTCAATCTGAAGAGAAAACGCCCAACAACGCAAGACAAGAGCGCACGCGCGACGCAAGCGCAAACAACAAAAACGTGATACGGCATGAGCGAGGCGACGCCTTCTCTGTGCAAGTTCTTTGCGCAGGTTTCTCTGCCCAAGCTCTCTCTGAGCAAGTTGTCTGCACGGTTTCTCTCTCCGCGCAAGACTCCCCCGCTCTCTCTCTCTCTCTCTTGTTGTTTTTCTTCTGCGCGCGCACACACACACGCATGACATCACTTTCTCTCTCTCTCTCTCATTCTTTATCTCCGTTTATCTCCCTGTATCTCTTCCTCTCTCGCTCTCTTTCGTCTCTTTCTCTCTTTCTCTCTTTCTCTCTTTCTCTCTTTCTCTCTTTGTCTCTTTCTCTCTTTCTCTTTGTCTCTCTTTCTCTCTTTCTCTCTTTCTCATTTTGTCCTTCTCTTTCTCTTTCTCTTTCTCCTTCTCTCGCTCTCTCTCTCTTTTCCTTTTTTTTCCTCTCTCGCTCTCTCTCTCTCTCTCTTTCTCTCTCTCTCTCTCTCTCTCGCTCTATGGGCAAGAAGCCGTCTTACTTCAAGGGCCTTTTGCAACGCTTGCGGGAATAGCTCGGGACCACTGTATTGCGAAGCCAAGCAGTTGTATGATCTGAACCCCCTCCCTTTGCCTGGAACCCCTTTCATGCGCTGCGCAGACATCAGTACTGCTGGACATTCAAGACTGGGGACACACCGCAACTTGCAGGGGTGTCACAGTTCAAGGCCCACAGGCCCTTATTGCGCTGGATCGTCGAAAAAACCTCCCTTCAAGCTTGGGAAGCAAGCGAGGGTTCCTGCTCGTGATGATTAGGGGCTGTGCTGTTTTGTTCAGGCCTTTGAAAACGAGCCGGGCACACTCCCGGAGCGAAGCACTTGGACCCAAAGCTTGCCACAGGTGGCCTGCAGGGAAAGGGGCAAAAAGCAAAAGCAATGCACGGTACGTGTATGAGTGTGCGTGCGCGTCTGCGTTCAACAGCATGTGTGTGCGCGCGCGTCTTTTCAGGCGTGCGCACGTGTGCGTTGGCGGGTGGGTGGGTAGGTGGGAGGGTGGGAGGGTGGGAGGGTGGGAGGGTGGGAGGGTGGGTGGGCGGCTGGGTGGGCACAAGTGCGCGTGTGTATGTGTGTGCGCGCGTCTGCCTGCGCCTGAGCGCGTGTGCAGGCATGGGTGCAGCTACAGCCCCGCGCGCGTTTGCGTCCGCTGTGTGCACGTGGGTGTGCACGCGCGCACGTCGGCCTGCGCGCGGGGGTGCGCGTACACTGCGCGCCTGTTTTTGTGGACAAGAATCGATACGAGTATGCTGTAGTATAAGTGTGTGTGTGTGTGTGCGTCATGCGCGAGTGTGTGTGTGTGTGTGCATGTCATGTGCGTCAACCGCGCGAGTGTGTGTGCGTGTGTGTGTGTGTTCAACAGGAGGATGGGGTTGTCCTGGATTTGGCATATCTAGATGCATTTGCAACAGTTCACTTCAACACACACACACACACACACACACAGACCACACACACGCACGCACGCACGCACGCACGCACGCACGCACGCACGCACGCACGCACGCACGCACGCACGCACGCACGCACGCACGCACGCACGCACGCACGCAGTCCCTAAAAAGCACAGTGGCAGCGCGCATGCTTCACAGAATATCAGAATCACTTGAGGGTTTCTGATCCAGCCCCAAGCCCAACAAATCTCAAGTCGCACTGCAAATGAACAAATCATGCAGGTCAGACTACATCCCCAAGTCTCGAGTCGGCATGCATCTCGCCATGACACATCATGGTGAAGCAAGCTGGACAACAAGGAAGTAAAGTGCGAGGAGCAGAGTCCCAATTGCATATCACGTGTCTTTGCCAGCAAGTGTTTCGGAGCTTGCAACCCCCGGCTGAAAAACTATCAAAATCATGTCAGCCTTCTGCTTCCCTATCTGCCATGGAAGTTGTCGCACTTATGGACATCACAAAAGCACCTATGCAACAAGGTGCTAATGTGCCAACTAGCACCCCGTGTCACACGCACACACACTAGCACTGGGCACGTCAATACATAAACTTTAGAAAAGCGCCCAACAAGCATTCATGCACTGTCTGCGCCTGAAAAATGTGATTGCATCTGTACATGAAGAACCACTTGACGAGTGCGCTCCATACCTGGCAGTGATGCGCCACAATGCTTGGATTCAGCCTGAGGTTGACAGCCGACCAACCCACGGTGTGTGTGTGTGTGTGTGTGTGTGTGTGTGTGTGTGTGTGTGTGTGTGTGTGTGTGTGTGTGTGTGTGTGTGTGTGTGTGTGTGTGTGTGTGGTGTGTGGTGTGTGTGTGTGTGTGTGTGTGTGTGTGTGTGTGTGTGTGTGTGTGTGTGTGTGTGTGTGTGTGTGTGTGGTGTGTGCGTGTGTGCGTGTGTGCGTGTGTGCGTGTGTGCGTGTGTGCGTGTGTGCGTGTGTGCGTGTGTGCGTGTGTGCGTGTGTGCGTGTGTGCGTGTGTGCGTGTGTGCGTGTGTGCGTGTGTGCGTGTGTGCGTGTGTGCGTGTGTGCGTGTGTGCGTGTGTGCGTGTGTGCGTGTGTGCGTGTGTGCGCGTGTGCGCGTGTGCGCGTGTGCCGCGTGTGCGCGTGCGCGTGCGCGTGCGCGTGCGCGTGCGCGTGCGCGTGCGCGTGTGCGCGCGCGCGTGCGCGTGCGCGTGCGCGTGC